TCTCTCTCTCTCTCTCTCTCTCTCTCTCTCTCTCTCTCTCTCTCTCTGTATTTTCCTTTTCCTCCAATCCATTTCGCGTTTCACTCTCACTCGCCCCGCACTGCCGATCGGTGTAACTCTTTTTTCACTTGCTTCGTGTCTCTCATGATCGAACTATCGTTCACTTTCTACCATTCACTCAGCTCAACATATTTCACTGTGTGCCTGTGCATCTGCAACGATTTTATGCGCTAAGGTTTGTAAATTTGTTGAGTAAATGTTGAGCAAGCCAATGTTTCTAACTGTAACGCAGAGTACTTGTATGCCAGTAAGTTGGGTTTGGCGATGCAATTTCTTTGTGTGTGTGTGTATGAATATGTACTATATTGCACATGTCTACGTTTAGTGTCATCAAATTCGACTTTATTTCAAACTTCCCATATGGAAATCTAATTTATGCGTCACATCAAGCATCGAAAACGTTCGCCCAGCCAATCTACATATACAAACAGCACAACGGTCGCCCCAGTGAAGTTTTAGCGAACGCAAAGTTAGAGCGAGAGAAGGAGAGACAAACTCGCATCCATTTAACCGCTTGAAATACAAAAGTTCGATTCAGGCGATTTATTTGAGTGCATACTTATGCGGGATGAATGAAATGACAACAGCGAAATAGCAGAGAGAAAGAGAGTGGTAGCAAAGAGACGAGAATGGAGTGTGAGTGAGGGAGATTATTTCATTGGTTTAGATTTGATTCCGTATCTCTCAGTGGCGAATGTCGTTGATCTTTCGGTGTTCAACTGATGATGCTAATGGCATCGCCGTTTCATCATGTCACTATCATTAGTCTATTCAATCTACAGATCAACACCATAAATTACTGCATTGAACTTTGCATCGAGTTTTCATTCTCGCTCTCTTTGCCTTTCACTCTGTGTGCAGAGTCGCCGAAAAACGGGAGAATTTATCGTATTTTGCTTGCTTTGCCTTCGTTCGATGTTTGGGTTTATCATGTATTTGTTTTTGTTCTTTTGTTTGGTTCTGTATACTTGAAATTTGAATAAATGTAAAACGCTTTTCTCTTTCCATTACCATCCACATACACAAGCAGTGTCCAGCATCAACGGGTCGTCCTTTTCGATTTCGCGCGTTGACAGGTTGCATATGGGAGCATATCTTTGCATCGGTAATTTATTTTCATGTTGTTGTTGTTGTTGTTGTTGTTGTTGTTTTCATTCCACACTAACACAAACCATTTTAAATGCAATTTATTCCTTTAAATACACGCAGCAAGCAACGGCATTCCTCCAACCGTCAGCAAACGGGTCATGTTGATTGTTCATTGTAAGTATTAGTTGACTGTAGAACACACTGATTATTTTTTCCTCCCTACTGCAGAATTCCTTCGTAAAAAGACTCGCTCTGTCTGTCTATCTATAGATCGATCGATTTGTGTCGAGATGCTGCGAGAGTTAACATGTCCTTTTTTGGGTGGTTCGTCTATTTTTTCTCTCGCTTGAAACTCAATCGATTTCTAGCTGTATATCGTCGATGCTTTGGCTCCCGTCAATTCCACCGGAAGACAGTCGTATAAAAAATGGATTTTAAATCACCGATTTGAACGATTGAAATGCATGATTTATTTTTATTACTTTAATGATACGCGACAGCGATGACGCTTAACTGATTTGTGTGTTGAGAATGAATTACATGATTTCAGTCAAACAAATTGATTAAATTCTCATCCACATCGACACCGGCTTTGTCTGCCACCCTCACACAGACACAGATTTAGTTAAACCATTTAGAAGTATGATTTCAATTTAATTGAACAGCCATTCATTCAAATGGAGACCGCTCCTTTTTTTCGACGTGCATTACAACCATATGAAATCGAGAGAGAGAGAGAGAGAGAGAGAAAACACTCTTATAAAAGCACTTTATTGTCATGTCATCCGATCTTGTTTCAATTATCGATGATTTCATTCAACGCGTTTGTAAAATTGAATTTGTTTTTTCTTTGTCACATTGGTTCATGTGTTTTTTTCGTGTTGTTATTTGTATTATTCAGCCGTTGACAAATTCCCCGATTGGATGTGTATGAAAAGGATATTATTGCATAAAATGTTATCATATCATTCGAAAATCGGCTTTAAAGTCAAATATTTGGGATGTTTACTAGGAAACGGACAGTGTCCGTCAGTCACACACAAATGACCCAACGAACGATGAAAAAATGTGCATTGAAATTCATTTTAGTTTTAGTGTATTAAAACGATTTTAATTGCTTTTGAAGTGTGTGCTGTGCATAGCACTTATGAAACATGTTTACATAAATGGCTTAACCGAATGGACCATAAAATGAATTGATTTTTTTTTCATTGTTGTCATCGTCGTTGGCCGAACACTAACGACAAAAAAATGTGTCATATCGAATAAAAAATGGTGATAAGCTGACTTCACATTGTTTGAATTCGAAAAGTGTGATGCGGTAAAAAAAAACTGTTGATATTTAAGCGCATATATCATCCGCCGAGGCGTAGCTGGATTGATCCATAAAAATAATATTTTTAAAAGTTTAATAGAGATAATTAGTTACGTGTCATAAATTTATGTACCTCATCATTGAATTGATGTGAATCGGGCAATTGTTTTTATGTTTGGCGGATGGTGCTGAACGTTGCGCCGTTTTCAACACTCTGTAGCGATTGCAACTGATTGAGTATGTACCGCATTTGGTGCGCTGCCCGATGGCTAATTGCATTGCAACCAACGCAACAGGATTTTAACATCGTTATCAGCTAAAATTTATTACTAAACGCTTTGTTTTTGTGCATTCTTTTGAAAATAACGTGCGCGCTAGAGTGGAAGAGAGAGAGAGAGAAAGGAAAAACTCATTTCAAACAACAATGAAATCAATCAGCGTTGATAGGCAAACGACCAAATTAATCTGTCAATTTGACGAATTATACTTTTTGGTTGTTTTTGCTGGTTGTTGTTGTTGTTGCTGCTGTTTTTGGCACGTGTTTGCGTGTCAAACAGAGAACGAGCTTTTCCGATACAGTTAATAGAAAATGGGTATTTCATCCATCCAAAAAAAGAACCACGCACCATTTTATGAACTCAATTTGTTTTGGATTACACGCGCAATTACAGTGAAAATAATTGCATGACACAAAATCAGCGTCAGCTTTAATCTAGCCAGCCGGTTTTAGCGGCAGATGTTTCATAGATATCGCATGATTAAGGTGGCGGGAGATGGATTTTTATTTGAAAATGTCAAACCAGGAAACTGGTTTATCAATCAAACAGTTTATTTGCAAATTTTTCTCTTTATTTGACTAAATCTGGTGATTTATTGCGCGCAATAGCAATAGACAAAGTTCATCGCAATGGAGATAGATAGAGAGCTCAAGTTGATTTTGTATTTGTTTTGTCGATTGCAATGCTTTTGCATCGAAGCGCAATAGATTGAGAGGGAGAGAGAAGTTTGTAAGCTAAATTTGGTTGTGCGTCATTTTGCCACTATTTTCCACACCAATAAATCGCTAACAATGTATTCCGATGGTGCAAAATCTGACAAAAACTCGTACAATAAATAAATAAACAAAGCACGATGCAGTAAAGCAATCTGCTGTGCGAAAAAAAAATTCATAGCATTCGATCGCGCTGTTTTTTTTTAACCTCATCTCCAGCATATGGTTTATTTATTTGCGTGTAATTTTGATTGACAATGCAATGCGAGAGTTTGCTGCTGTCAGTGGTTTGTGCGCTGTGCACAGTGGACGAATGGAGCAACGAAGGAAAAAAAATACCATCGGAAAAATCTAATTCAAACGATCAGTAAATAAACGTGTGCAAACGTGAGAAAAACAGGAAGGAAACACTCACATTTCATGCAATTACACAATGCACATGACCAAAACGTCAGGCAACAAAAATCCAACGCCGTCACAAAACGAACACAAAAAAAGAACGCACACGTTAAATTGGTTGCCAAAATTAGTGTCACATTTTTTTTTACTGCATTTCATTTTTTTCCTATCAGATGCCATGCTGTTTTTTCAGACCCTTTTTTTTGTCGAAACGGAGAATTCAACTCAGGAAATTTCCTTCGTTTCGGAAACACAATTGCAGCGGGAAACAATGCTGATTTCGATATTCACGAGCGCCAAACTTTAATGCCCGAATATAAATGGCAAATAAAGCTTCTATTGAATTGCAGCCGGGCTAGCACCAAAAAAAAAGGAGAGCGGCTGCGTTTCGGTTGAACGATGCATCCGAAATTCGGCAAACACAATTTAAATTCAAAATTAAGGCCGAGTATTCAATGGAAATTAGTTCCCCCGATTTGATTTGAAATGGTAAGCAAAAATCAGTTCGCCCTCGATTCGACAGTCGCAGCAATAGTCGAAGCGATTTTTGCAATGTTTTTACTTTTCAAATCCGAAATTCAAACGTAGCCAACTACCATCCAATGGTAATGCGGTTTACATTGATATGTGGCATTACCTGATAGGGAGGCTCACATATGAACCGAAAAACACTTTCAGAGGACTTACTGTTCACTGTTAATGGATTGATATTCAACATATTCAGGTTCAGTTCGTCTTTTGTTCTGAGTGTGTCAATTAGTTTACCTGTCGGCCCATTCAATGGGTTTGCATGTGCTGAAACACAATGGTAAATATGCTATTGGTTTGCATTGGCTCTGGTCAAACTACTATGATTTATTCAATTTATTGATGCTTTTGCATCGCATAAAATTGATGGGAACGGTTGTAATTTAATTGGCCTGAATAGCGTACAACATTCAACATTCTGTTTGAAATAATGCGTTGGCTAGCGGTGCAAAGCTGTTTATTGTTGCAGAAATGATTGTACGAATCTGTTAAATGCGTGCACTGGTGGTCATCAAATGTTGGCCATAAATCAACATATTCATTCAAAATTCCATTTCGAATAGTCGATGGATGAGTCATAGCCTATAAATAACAATGTTTTATGAATTCAAATGATTTGAGCTATCAATCAACGCTACAGCAAATTATTAATAAATGTTTCCGTTGCTATTTTTGCAGTGCGTTTACTATGGAAACGTGTGTACGAAAATTCGTGAAATTTGATAGCGATTTCGACAGTGATCCAGCCAGTCGGAATGCCCTTAGTAACGAAAACGGGAAGAAATTGTAGGCTTTGAGAGGGAATCGTTTACGTTTTCGTTTGAAATCATGTGTAAATATCACATCACGTTCGTTTGCCTGTTGATAAGCATCTCTTCCTCCATTTTATACCCATACCTCTCTCCTTTAGCCTCTTCCGCTCTATCTTTCTGTGTTATTCAACAAACACTCGATAAACACTTTATTAAGAGTTTTACCGTTGCTAATTACAACACCCAAATAAAACACCTTCATTATTAGCTTTATGGGTGTTAAGTTCAAGAGAGATGTGAAAGTATGCCTGAGAAATAACCGAGTCAAAATAAGCCACAAACTGAGATTAGTAATCAAGATTCTCTCTTATCAAGACGACGAAACGGAAAAACATCATCGAACTTGTATCCATATCAAGCCGAAAACTTGATACATAAACACAAGACATACACACAGCAGTTGGCAAAAGCGTGTATCAACACCAACCTATCATTCGAATCAATTAAATGTATAAACGCAAACGTACTAATTTGCTCGAATTGAGAAGTGCGTGCGAAACGAATGGTTCGCCATTGTATGTGTTCGCGTTTTTGTAAGCAGCTAGACCTTTTCCGTTGCCGAAATGGCATCGGCATTGTGAAAAGCGAGGACGAAAGAGAGATAGAGAGAGAAAGAATGCGTATTTTATCCGGCAGCCAATAAAATATTATTGATGAGAACGAACTTCGCGAGCGTCTCAATCGAACAACAGTTGCTGAATTTGAGATCAGCGTGCCACAAAAGCGAAAACTTTCACACATCTCTTGTTCTCCGTATTTCTACTGCTCGTTGTGAATCGAGCCCCTTTTTCTTTGATACACACACGTATCAAGTGCCTTTTTGATTTAACCGCCGCCAATTTCAATTCGCCGTGCCTGCCACAAAATGTGTTTACAACTCGAACATGTATATTCGACAAGCGATGGCAAGGCTGTATGTATCGTGGAGGACGTGAATAGACGTACAGTCTTCCGTTTGATATATTAGTCATTCCATTTAGGCAGCAAAATTACACATTCGAATTGATATCAATCGTATTGGCAATGCATTACGTTATTTTCATACAAGTTTCTTGATGTTAGTGAGTGGTTTTATTCGTCGTTTACCCAGTTCTTCTCTCTCTCTCTCTTTTTCTGTTGGCACACATTCACGCCGCCATCAATTTCGTTTGTACTTCATTGGAATCGGTTGGTTGGTCGAATGTGTGTATTGCTTATTTCGCGCGGATGTCTGGCGTGCAGTAGCAGCAGTAGCAGAGTCGACAGTATATATATTTCGCGCGCGCCGTATGGATGTGATTAAAGGACGTGAGACAATCGTTTCCATTCACATCTCGTACACTTTTATATGCATGCGTGAGTTGATGAATTGGGAATTCGCTTGGTGCTGTCGGTCGGGTTGGTGTTTCTCTTGCCTTCTCATTCTACCTTGCTTTCTCTCTCTCTCCCACATCGTTCGTTTCGTGTGTTTCTGTGGCCTGGTTACACTTTTATATGGTTCAGTAAAGCCAAAAAGTTATGTGCGCTACATTCTAATTTCCAAAGCAACTTTCAACACATTGAACACGTTTTTCATTTTCACATCTCCTCGTCCGTTCGTCCATTCGTTCGCTCATTCTTGCATCCGTTTCGATTTTCACAGTTCGACAAAATAAAAATCGACCGGCTGACCAATCGAAAACGATCAAAGTGATTGCGTGTGCATTGCGAAATCGTCCAAACACGACAACGACAACGACAACGACTACGACAACAACAACAACAACAGCAACCCGAAAAAAAATCATCGCTCCAAACACTGAGCGCACATAGATTAAACAAAAGCTTTTGGCATGTATTGCATAGAAATTGCAAACATTGGTCGTTTCGATGTTAGTCAACATTCTTTATCGTTTACACTACACAGATTCGATATTTTCGCATTTGTTACCGTCGCTTTTCGATTATTCGTTTTTTCCGTAATTGCGTTGATTCTTTTCCAGTTTTTTTTACTGTGTTTGATTTGGTTGGCTTTTTTTCACTGGTTTCCATTCGAATGTTTTACAGTTCCACCTATGATGATGATACAGAATCAATTGGTTGGTGCAGCCATTGGACAGAACGTCACCCTTGAGTGCACCTCAGAGGCTTTTCCAAAGTCAATTAACTTTTGGATGCGAGCTGCATCGAAGAATGACTCTATCATTACTACCGGTAAGTTGTAAACGTATTCATTTCATATTTTTCCTGTTTGCTTTTGTTTCACAAATCGAAATTACCTTTCATGTTGCGGTTTATGGCCCCATTCATTCTATATCCAATCGACGATAGATTCGATTTGAATTTCAAGTTCGTACTTTTATTTCAATTGAACAATTTATCCCACGTGGAATTACGGTTGCCCGGGAACATGTTGGACCATTGAAAAATTAACTTTTCCAAGTATGAAATGCGATTCAGCGCAACAACATGAACAGATTAAATCGAAACTTCAAAAGAACCAACAATCCAGTTTTTAATCCTTTTTTTCGGAATTACTTTACCCATTACCCAGAACAAATTCAAATGGAAACAAAATGGCTTAACTGTATAAATAACACGAATTATTCGAGAGAGTGTATGTACTGGTACTCGCTCGACGAAAACGATGCAAACATTAACGCATCTTGATAAAAAATTGTCGCACAAGTGTTTGTGTCGCACACCATGTGAAACATGAAGCGGCTAAAAGGAAGTGAAAACATTCAATTCTAAATGATTTTGTACATATTTTCCGTTGAAAATCTTGATGATGATGACGGCAGCATTTCATTTCACTGCGTGCCCTCTCTTACTCTTTCCGTTCGCTTCACTTTCTCTCGTTGTGCCCCTGCCCGACATTCTGGCGAACAAAAGCATCGTACATTTTGCAGCAACAGTAGTATCTCACTCACTCTCTCTCTCTCATACTCGCCTTTTAATGTAATATTTATACAAGCGCATCGTAATTTAGACACATTTTGTGTGCTCTGCTGCATAAATAAAAGCTGTTTCTCTTTTGCACTCGGTGTCTGTGTGTATTGTTTAACTTTCGTACCGACAACGACCGAAATATATTCATTTCACATGATTCACATCAAATTCAATTCCTTCAGCAATTTATTTCTTCGGCGTCTTTGTGTGTGTGTGCGATGTGCGTTCTCATTTCGCATTGACTTAAAACACAACAAACGAACAAGAAAAAACACACGAATGAAGACGCAAAAGGACGCAAAACGACGATCTGTTACTCATTTTATAGAGCAAATACATATACGGAATTCCCCATTGTTTTCACATTTACACAGCAATGAAAATAGAAACAATGTAAAAAATGAGACACAGAGAGAGAAAAAGAATTGAGCGAAAAATCAACGCAAACGTTCGCACATTCTTTTCATGGTGCTTGAACATTTCGACTTAAAATACCATGTAGCATCATCAAACCAGTCATCTGAAGCGATGTAACAACAGAAGAAAAGCTCTATCTATTTTTCACATGTGCTTTTTCTATTTGCCATTTGCGCTCGCATACATATTTCATGTCAATTTTTTTCCGCCCTCTCTGGCTTGCTCCGTATTTTATTAAAAACGGAAATTAAGCAATTATCTCAGCTCATCTTCGTATAAATATCAAATGGATTCGTTATTATGCTGATGCTGGCTTGTGTTGCCAACGTGTATCAACTTCTCATCACATCGCGGCGCAAATTAAATATTTAACAACACGCTTGTATTTGACAAATTTTGCTGTCGAATTTAAAATGTGTGGATTTCACATTAACATGCAATATAAATATTATTTCATGAATCTTATACTCCGATTTCAAAGGAAAAAACCAGTCCATTCCGTTGTAGTTTAATTTTTAAACAATAACGTACAAGCTGGGTGTACTTTTCCGTATTCATGAATGCTTGAGAAATGTGTTTTGAATATTCAAGAATTCGTTTCGATTCGAATGGTTGAGAATTCGACGAGCAATTCCCACGGTATAGAAATTTGTCCAACATTAATGCTCCTTTTAAGTATCGAAGTTAAAGGGAACAGAGTTGCATCAACATTCGATCGATGTGAAAAATGGTGTCAACGCTATAAATACTAAGGATATAGTGCTAATGACCGAAAATCCATTTCAAAATTTCCGTTGATATATTCGGTTTACAATTCCCACTGTGCCAATAGCAAACAGCACGAAAATTACTTAAGCAAATCACAAGTCATTAAAGGATTTCTTCTTTGCGAATGTAAAGACAATATTCGCTACGTATTTGATGACACTACAGTGATTCTTTTGCATTTGAGCAATGCACTCAATTGGCAATTTACACTTTCTATCACTGAGTGTTTGTATGTTTGGCAACGGAGTTTTGAATTGTCACTTTCATGGAACATCAAGTTTTATTCAGCAAAACACGTTTTCCAAAAGCATTGAAACACTTGTCATTCGCGCCAATGATAAACACAGCATACTTTCCTCCGACGAAATCGACGTGCCGTACATACTTCTTAACGTGCCCGACGAGAAATTTGCGGAATATCGCATTGCGACTATTCTACGTATAGTCGCAATACGAAAAAGTCCGTCGAACGCAGCCAACTTCACGTTGGTTGTACGAAGTTTCAAGTCGAAATGTCACACTCGATCCAGTTACAACTTCACATTTATCGCAGCGCGAATAGTCGCAGGGTATTCAGCGATAACATTTTGCGGCAACTTTTATTGTGGATACCTATTCGCATTGCGAGTATCCGCACTCAAAAACGGATATGCGACGGATAGTCGACGTACACCTATTTTACCGCAAATTTCTCGTCGGGGTGTGATTTTACTATACACACACAACGGGATTGAATCGCATTGCTTGGTGTACACACGCAATATGCGCGCGTTTCCCTTCAAAGCACACGATGCCAACCTGATTACCATTATCACCGTTTTCAAATCATCACCAAATTCGTATCATTTTATTTTATCGTTTGCTCATTTCTCTTTTCATACACAATTTTCATGGACTTTGTCATTTTTCATCCGGTTTCTTTCAGGCAACAAATATATTCAAGAAGTATTCGAGAACGTTTACAAAGTGGTGATGAAATTGACGATTGTCGATGTTGACATCGCTGATTTTGGCCAATACAAATGCGTGGCCAAAAATTCATTAGGCGAAACGGACGGCTCAATCAAATTATATCGTAAGTACTATATGAAGTCTTTTTTTTTTCCATTCACAAATCATAAATTGGTAGTCAGAAATTTTTGGGTGCATTCAACAGTTTCGCACTCGAAACAAGTCGAGAGGGGCTCAATGATGAAAAAATGCAAAAAAATCTAAAATGAAAATGGAATTCATACAAAATCGTCGAATAACTAAAAAAAAATAATAGTACACAAAATCGAAAATAACTATGAAAAAATTGAACAATTCATAAAATTCCATGAAAATGCTGCCAAAATCGAGTGTTTAAATGAAATGCCGACTAAAATGTTGGTAGAAAAAAATGTGACGACAATTAAAAATGTGAACTGATGATGTTTATGAAGTGGAACCATTTGGTGCATGGAATACGTGCCACATGTGTATATTTCCCCATAAAAATGACACAAAGTTGTCAATTGAGAGCAGCAATTTATTAAGAATACCTATTATAAAAATGCATCAAGCGAAAGACCACTCGAATTTCAATGGAGCTCAATATATATTGAAATGAGCATCAGCGGAAAGAGCGACGGAAAAAACGCAACATTTCTATGGTTTAATTAAATTCAACGATGATGATTGCAATATCTGGTTAAAACTAAGCTTAATAACGATTACATCTAAACTGTTGAAACGTGTATATTTGAACTGTCATCAACATGCATACATTTACAGCTCGGGGGCATTTTTTACATTGTGTGTGTAGAACGCGATTCGCTGCTGCGATACACAGCAGCAGCAACAGCAGCAGCATGAAAAAAATGCAAATATGAAAATATTTGCAAAAACATGAAGTGCCGCAGTCCTTTGATTGAATCGCAACGGTCCTTCATCAACTCTCTGTTTTTTCTCTCTCAACGAATTTCATTAAACTAACAACGTCAATAGTACTATCGTTTCGTTATATTTAGAGTAAACTCGAGTGAGAGACACAGGGGGAATAGTTCTGGGGTTGAAAAAAAATGAAAACACGCTGTGGTGGAATTTTGTGCAGATTTTCCCATTTGATTTCGGCGAACTCTTTTAGATTGTGCATACATGGTAAAAGCATGAGTGAAAATTGTAAGCGCGCCACTGGATATTGTTCAAGTGAATGAACATTTCGAAATTATACATATGTTTCGATGATATGGGCGAGAGAAGGAGGGAATGAAAGTGGGAGAAAGAGAGCGAAAAAGAGATGAACACAATATTGGGGGAAAAAAAGATGCTCGACCAAAAAAAAAAGTAATACCTTTTTATTTTTCTCTGTTTGCCGAAGGAAAAATGAGTGAATCGGGTAAATAGAGTGCGACATAAGAGGAGAAAGGATAGAGAGAGTGAAAAAAGCACCATGAATCAAATATCGTAAATATGAAGAGTACATCATTATATTTTTACACATGGATTGGTTCATCGCATTCGTTCCTTTTGCGAATGCTCTCGTTCGCTCATTTCTGTCTGTGTGTGTGTCCGTGTGTGCACGATATTTTTCTCTTTTATCGAAATTTATCAGAGTAACCCGTCTATATTTCAACGCGCAATTCATCATTAGTTCAATTCGTTTTGAATCTCCACATTCGTTCCTTTCTCACTCGTTTACTGGGGCTCTGAATGCAAAACGGGTATGCCCTTTTTGTGTGCACAAAAAGCGACAACAATTTTGAATCGACGAACACAAACGAACAAAAAAAAAAGATTCATATATCGACACAGCAAATCAAAGTGAAAAAAAAAATAACTTCTCTTTAATACGTTTCATATTCCACTTATTATTATTATTTTGCCAGCGCATCGCATCGTGTATGTAAATGCGAATCGATTTCATGCACAAAAATTATTTCATTTCACATTTTACTACTTCATAAAATAAATATAGCAATATTTGTCATATATGCATGTCTGCCCATCCCACACCCACTGTTTTGACACACACGCACACCCTCCGCAGAGCGGATTTATTTATTCTGTTTGAAGCGATGTGTTGAACTGCTACTGCTGTTACTGTTTCATTTGGAATCGCTTTGTCGAACAAATGTCGTTATTTGAACAAGATGCATCACACAGTGTTGTGATAACTCGGTACGCACATTTGCAAAATACCCAATGGAAGAGATAAATCGCATTTTTCGTTTGAAATGCGTACGCGATCGTCATTCGTCAATAAATTGATACGGTTGTCATCATCGTTAAAATAAATAAAAGCGCCAATTTTCTATCAAAATTGGAAACGATAATTCGTTTTTTTTCTTCTCTGGCATGAATCACCAAGAGAATGCGAAAGGAAGAGAGACAGAATTGTGTTGAAATACGGCAAACCCCGGTTTTTTTTAGCATATTGAGTACAAATGAATTTGAACGTGTTTTCTTGAAAAACATATTCAAAGCGTGGAATGCATTTTTTTCGTGTCAATTTTCATTTTAACGTACGCAAATTAGCTTCGAAAATTGCCTCCTCCGCATTCGCAATATGACATGCACAAATAATTGATCGCATTTGCTCGTATTTCTGCGCGTTTTTTTTCGCTCATTCTTTTTTTTCAAATGTGAAATGCGAGGGCGTGCATAAGGTTGATGAATTGAATGAGAAAAAAAACAAGAGCGGAAATGTTCATTAATATGTTTGATTGCATTTATTTCAAAATAATTTCTCTGTCACTCAGCTCTCGCTTTCTGTATTTTCTTTCACCGCCAAAGCTCAACATTTTTCATATTTCGCAAGGGCTATTAATATCAATCAGTTGACATTTTTTCCTCGTTCTTTTGATGCCGTGATAAAATGTTTAGAATTCTGTGATCGAATTACATGAAATAAAATATTCGCGTGAAAATCGCCGCCATAATTTTTTTTTAGCTCAAATTATATTTGCACCAATGGTCGTTGGTGGTTTTTATGAGCATCGCCATGAAACCAATTTGAACCTTGGCTAATTCTGATCGTAAAAAAAAAATCAGTACTAATGTATATAGAATTTCCAACGATTGAAATAATAAAACCAACAAAATGTAATAAACACTAGCGTAAATTTTCTAACCACCTGCACACCACTGGCAATTTTCTAAATCACGCTCATTCTCTCTGTCTTGCACGCCGTTTGCTACTCCGCGACAAACTTATACACAAAGAACCTGTCTAAGTCACGACGAAGTTAGTGGCAGCGCAACATTTTCGAGGATTAACAATTTTCTCCGTGTGCGCGGTTTTGTGAAAATATTTATCGTATTCCTTTTAAAACAATTTTCATAACGCGTAAAAAGTTGGATGGATTGGTGTGTGTATTTAAGTTTTGCTACGGCTTTTATCGAATGAATGAAAATCTATTTTAATCGTTCGTCGCAAAGTGGAGGATTTTACTAAAAGATTATCGCTAAAGAATTTTAAATTGTTGCCTCTCATGAGATCCAGGCACGATGCAAGAAAAATAGCCAACCAAAGTCGAATGGAGAAGGAGAGACGGTAAGCAGGCGATGGAAGGAAAGCAAAAGAGAACGAGTAAGTGAGTGAGTGGCAGAAGACATTGGAGAAGGAGATGCGGAGAGAGTGTCGAGTGCAAAAGAGAGTTTTATGGTGTATACACTTTTTTCTCCACGTTTTTCTTCTCTTGCTCTGTCTCTCACTAAACAAACACGAAGCATTTTAAAAAGTCCTTGTGTGTATAAACATTTTCGGAATGCTTATCGGCTGTGTGTAATTTGTTTCGCACGTTTGACGGGAAAGCGTAAAGACGTGAGCGTGAGCGCGGGCACATTTGATATATGAAAACAAATCCACGTTCGCACTTAAAAAAATATTATTGGATTATGGCACATAAAAGTGACTCCAAAAACGATTTATAGGCAGCGGAATGAAATAAACACGACTTATGTGTCGATTAAAAGTCTTAGCTCTGCGCCGGACCGAGAAAAGGAGCGATGGAGAGAAAAACAGTAGAACAAAATGTTTGAGCGTGAAAAATTGGACTTGATTGTTTCAAGGGAGCTGTAGCTTGGAGGCCTGATGCTAAGGTGCGCTTTTGTTATGTATTTTTTTCCCTCGGCTCGTTCGTCTTCTTCGGTTTCTTTATTTAGCTTCGATGTGATTGTGTGTCAAAAGCCATTTAATAGCTTAGACCGGGATTTTCTGTCGAGTGCGGGTGATTTGCTCAACAACGCGATACAATCAACACCGAAAACAGTCTGTGCAAATGCTGATGGCGAGACCGGTATCAAGTGACTTTCATGAAATTGAAGCTTGCATTCTCCTTCGATTTATTTCGCAGGCATTCGATTAATTTTGCTGCGAGCCAAATCGCAATTCGCGATGTAATGAGCGGAATTAAGTGTGCGTGGGTGTGGTGGTGAAAAATTAATCGAAAAACTACACGTTTCCCTCTCTCTCTCTCTCTCTCACACACTCGACAAGTTGACTTTATCATCGATTCAAAATCAAGTGGCCAATTTCGTTTTGCTGCGCTGCGCTCCAATCCACTTCATCGCAATTTACTTCGGTTGCAGCCGCGCTCTCGGTACTTGATCTATAGCAACGACATTTTTCTTATTTATGTCTTCCAGCACAAGTTTACAAATCCACATACACACACCGATTCTGTGTGCGGTCGCAATGAAAAATAAAGCAATTAAAACAGGGATAAGCATCGTCGACAGGGAACAACACAGTGAAATCCAACAACCACTTACAACGCCAATTGAAACGAGCAAAGCTCGGGCAAAATTAATTATCATCATTGAGCACTTATGAAAATTTTCCATAATATTTATTTATTTATAAATTCAAAAATATCTGCGGCATTGAATGCGAGTCGAACGAGTGTCCCACATCCAACCGTAGCTTATTCAGATTCCGTCGCTCAAGTGCACGGCTCATATTTCCAATATTTTTGTTTGCGCGCCGAAATCTCTTAATCGGCCTCAAAGCCCGTTAAATACAATTCATCGCAAAAATGAGTGAGTGGAAGAGAGAGAGAAAGAGAGAGAGAGAGAGAGAGAGAGAGAGTTTTCAGCATGCGAAAAAACACTCATTTTATTCATTAATGAATCATGTCAAGAGGAGATATGGTTAAATTATTATTCACCAATGCCAATGATTCCATAATGTGCTTTGCACAAATTAAAAAAAAAAACCCGAAATCAATCACGCGAAACAAAAATCGAAACAAGTGAATGAGATGGGAGAGCAACAGACGGAAAACGAGAGTAGAGAAAAGAAGGGATGCGAAGAGCGAAAGGCAGAGTGTGGGAAGTTTAAGCGATAAGCGCTTTTTCTGTTATAAATGTACATATCATCGATAATCTTTGGCAAAGTGAAAATGATGCGCAGATTTGGTGTAAAATTAAGTTGACTTTTCATGGGATTCATTTAACTAGGCTTGAATACCCAGAAAAAAATCAACTTTTTGCGAGTAAATTCGGTGTGTTTGAACAAGGGGCCGAGATTGAAATGTACAGGGAAATTGATTAATATGGAAATGAATGCTAATTAATATTTCCGATCGAATGAAATGCGTGTGTTTTTTTCTCTCTCAAGTTTTCGAGAGTTGTGTAAATCTTTGATTCCCGGAAATATTCATCAAGCATGTGTGTGTTTTTTTTCTGCTTGCAGATATACCTCGACCGACCGTGTCAACGACTCTGGCAACCACGACCACTACCACGACAACCACAACGACACCGATGCCACCAACGACCGTACCCAATTCATTTCGAAAAAGCAAAGGTATGTTTTTAATCACAAACCCTCCGCTATTTCAATTATGCATAATTCGCCTAATTAACTCGCATACAAACTCCGTAATCATCATGAGCCTGATGGCATGAGCGTGGTATGAACGTTAGCGACAGAACAAAGTGTTTGCATTCGCCTATTTAATGAAATGCAATCGGAGCATATTTCATGGTAGGGGAATGTTGTAATGAGTGGACGGCCCAAGACTTTTTGGCCAAACTGTGAGGAAAGTTTTCGAATCTATATATGCCGTTCGATATTATGCAGCATTTACGTGCATTTACGTTCGACACTAGCAGTCGTTGGCTGTCTTGCACTCAACGACACGTGCAGTCACTTTGAGATGCGATATTTTTAGTTTTGAGGCATGGCACAACTGCCAAAACCATTCGACTGATTTTTCTACTTTGATTTCATGGAAATCGATTGGCCCAACCACTACAACATTACCCTAAATAAATCAGTCGATTATGTACGATTGAATCGACCAAACACCTTTTAATAAACGTATGGCTTTGTGGTATCTTCAAAAAATTCTCTGACGCAACGACCGCAGAAAATGTGTAGCGCGAGCGGTTACTTGTATCTTGTTCAGAAATCAATTTTCTGCTAACCAAATACATCGGACCATTTTGCTTTGAACAATATATTTGACGCGAATGAATTATGATTTACCGTTCCGTCGTTGCGCTCGTGTTTAATGTCATGGGTTTTGTTTTAAATGCGCTTCAATGATTAATATAGTACATCAGTTGGTGATGACGTAGCTCAACTCCAAATCACAAGCCAAAAAATTATGTTGTCGATTTTACGTTTTGATGTTTTACATTTTTAGCTTGACGCCATGGGCTCTTGCATCCGTCGGTGGCTGGTTTAAGAGAAATACTGCTTGCAAGCTTCTTTGCAGCCAGTTGATTTCAGTAGTCTCAAGTTACTCTCAAGTTTCAATCCACCGAAACCCGAACACGTCACAATCCATTTTACATTTAGCGCGCCAGCAAATTGCCGTTATTCCATTCAATTTTTCAATTTGCTCACGCGCAAGTTAAAGCGAAATGAAAAAGACTTTCATCTTTTGTGTGTGTCGCGCCTCGCTTTTCGCATGGCGGAATTCAAAAAACGTTTTTAAAGAATTGATGCCGACAATGCTTTTGGGTAATAAATATATACACAGCGTTGGATACACAATCGCTCGTACGCCATAGTGTTCGAGGCTTTAAAAGAATTGGCTGCAAAACGGAAATTGCAAAAGAAAATTTGCATTGGCCTTCATTGTGTGTCGAGTGTTTTATCGGCGCGGGTGCAAAAGGCGAAACTCTTTTATTTTCAGCGGAAAAAAAGCATAATATTTATGTTGCAAGTCGACTTTGGCTGGAGCGAGCGCTTGAGAGAGAGAAAGAGAGAGAGCGAGAGAGCGAGAGAGCAAGAGCTAACAGAGTGTTGACAGTACGACGGGAAATGTGCATGAAAAACCAAGAGCCGGCTTCACAAAGTGAAAATAGCCTCAATAAATTCATTTGATGAATTTTTCTGTTGTTCAACAAGACATTATTACCATTTATCATATTCAGTAGTTGGAAAATGAGACACTATCTCAAATAGAAACGAAAACGATGACGATAACAATGACGACGACGACGACGACGACAAGTGTATCGGCAAATGAGAGAGGGGAAAAAAACGATATCAAGAGAACGGGTGAGACGAAAAGTTTTCGCTGTTCTTCTACATTCGAGACAAAAAGCGAACGACTATGAATATTTTTGGGGTTTTTGTTTATGTACAAGTTGAACTTGGTGAAATGTTTTCATCAAAGAAATTCAACAGCCAAGCCAAATCAATGCTGGTTACGACGACGACGACGACGGAACACTGTCTTTGTACACCGCAAGAAGAACTTTAGTTCACCAGAGAAAACGAACGAATGAAAAACAACACACGATAAAAAAAACTTTTGCCAATGGAATGTGACACTGTGTATATGTGAGAAGAATGGAAAAGAAAATTCATCGGATTGATGAATGTACGACATTGCGACGAAGTTTTCGAACGCAAAAACGGCGAAAGAAAACGCAAACGCAGCAAAAGAAAGTTGGAAGAAGAACGAGCGAGTGAAGAGAGCGCGCGATATCGTAGCAAAAAATCGGAATCCAACTGAAAAAACGAATGATAAAACTGACAAAACAGCGAATCGTTTGACGAATCCCGAATGAAAGCGGACTGTTTAAATAGCTCCCAATATTTTCGGAATGATGAGTGTTTTTATTTCGAGTTTCCCACATTCCAACTTTATTTAAGTGGAAACACAAAGGATACAAATGAGTTTACAACCAGTATTGTCGAGTGACAGATACCCACAAATCGCTATTCGCACCGTGTGGGCGCGTGATTTCGCTCGCCGACGACGACCTTCGGCACATCGCATTTTATCGACCGATGATGAGATAAATAGGCCACATACAGTTAGACTTGCTGCGCTCATTTGATTTAATCGCTCTTCAAGCATCTTTTTCTCTTGTTTGAATTCATATAAATCAAGCTTAGGCATAGCCCTATTAATAAAGCAATTAATCATTTTGGATGTGAACCAAATCTTGTGGAACAAAACAGTGGAAAAAAATGTGCTCGAGAATTTGGTGACTGATCGACGCAGTCGTCGCAATATTTTTTGCTTCCATGAATTCAATTGTTGTTAATTTGAGTTTGGTGGAGGATGAATTGCAAGTCAAATGAATTGAATGAAAAGGGCAAGACGATTGTCTTTCCATAAATGACTGAATGTTCAAGGACCGAAAGGAGCCAATATGTCGCCGTGGCTATCGAATATTAATGAATTATTGGGGAAAAAAATTGTCATTTGAATCGATTGAAAAAAAAAACATTTCGTTAATTAGAAATTTACCGCTAAATTTACCACTCTTCGGTGGTTCTATTGAATTTAATGCTAATTTCTTCGTCAAAACCACTGTCTGCTCGTGACAGAGGCCAACATGTTCACGGCGTGCATGCGGTATACTTGATCTGATATGTCAGACAGTGTGCATGTGTGGCAGCACATTGTGGCATCGATAAATCCAATGTGCGCGTAATCAACTTGAACCCTTTATGCCTTATCGAATAATAAATACCAATTAAATGCCCGTTTCCCGCTTCAACTAATGCCATTTCTATTAAATCAATTTATTTGTAATTGTAGATCGTATGTCACATCAGAATCACGGGGATGATATGTCATCAAATAATATAATAATCGGAGCAACGCCGAGTCACTGGAATAACGATGGCAGAGGTAAATTCAATAAAATAACACATGCAGAATGTCTCCGTATGATATATACTCTGATGGGTTGGGTGTAAGCCACTGACATTATGAAACCTTAAGCTCAACAGACGTTTTATTTGTTCGCCCTGGAAATTCATTGAATTCCGCTGTCGAAAGATTGGACGGGCGGGCGGGTGAGATAGAGAGTGAAAGGGAGTGGAGATAGAGAGAGAAAATGTTATTTAGCTATTAAATCCATGTGATGCAAACACACCAACAACAACAACAATACCATAACGCGGCGTAATTTTGTTTTATTCAGCCGTAGCATTTATATGACAATCGCAATCGCTGCGAAGCAATATGGATGTGTACGTGAATATGAATTGGCTGGCTTCATTGGTTTCCGCTGCCACACACTCTGATGTCTGTCGTTCAGTCTCAGTTCGTATAAAACCGACCGAAGTGAGTGAACGACAAAAAAAAGCGAAGTCAAGTATTTTTATGATGTCGCGTGCATCATTCCAGTGTTATGTTGTTCTGTGTGTGTTTTTTTTCTTTCATTTCTGCGCTTATTCAGTTGGTTCGAGATTCTTTTTTATGGGCAACATTATGGAACGAGCACTTCGTGTGCTTTGCATTGGTATGAATGGAAAATATGATTATTTGTATATGCTTATGCGGGAAGCAGCGTCACAGAGTGCTGGCATTTTTCTCAGTGTGACGACAAAAACCAAACACATTATACAATGTGCTATTTCACACTCGTTGACACATTTCATTCCTGGCCGGATAGCAGCGCGCGCGGGCACACACACACACACATTCGTAAGCACTATTTCATTTGACAACGTTGCTCAAACAAAACGACACACCGAAAAAACACACACAAAGACACCAGAAAGCGGAGAATAGAAGGGAACACATTTCATGTAGTTGCATGTACGAACGACCACCCCGATTTCATTCCCTTGTGCAAATGGCATAAAACTAACAACAAAATTTACAATACGAAACACAAAAAGTGCAACGTGTTTACATAGCAACGTGAATAGCAACAGAGAAAAACTGCAACGATGCCAGTTTTTGTTTTTCATCTGCCGTTGCTACTGCTGCTGCTCGATTTTTTTTATTAGTTCAATTCGAGTGAAAAGACACCGAATGGATTTTATTACTTTTGAGCATTTGACTTTTAAAAGCGGGGTCCGGATTAGGTTGTCTTGTTTTCATTTCGCATCCACGGATTCCATGTGATGGGTGTGTATGTGTGTGAAAAAAGTATTGAAACATTGTTAAAACTCGGATGGTGTAATGCGCTTTTGTCAAATGGATTGAAAACAGGTCAATAGCATGTGATCGCTTTGTCGTTGTCGTCGTTGATTTTTTTTTGTCTCTGTCTTTAAAACAATAAACCGAACACATCGACATATTTTCAATTTAAACGGCGCGGCACGGCAATTGTAAACTGCAACTCAAACGTTGTCTCGAGAGAAAGAGCGAAAGAGCGAGAGAGTGAGACGTAAGTCTGTCTACGTTTGAATCATTTTCAATTCAATCTGCTTTCAATGGCTGATTTTACAAGCTTTATCACACGGAAAATATGCAGAGGTGTCTGCGTTCGTGTGAATGTGACGTTGTTTCGTTTGAATCCGCAATTAGACATTCGATTTTGTAGACACTTTACACTTATGATTGCATTAAAACGAATCCCATTTTGATCAGCAATTGATTTGATTGTTTATCCAACCCCAAAATCGCAATAAGTGTCGACTCACACAAATGAAATCACCTGTGATCTGAACTCGGTTACTTTTTTGTTCGTTCGTTTTCGCTCAATTTCCATCTGCTGTGCTCAATTTCAGAGCACATGCTCTTTTCTGAAGCTATTTAGTTGTGTGATGTTGCGATTGGCTCGAAAAAATAAAACCAAAATAAATTATCAGCGGCTGTGACATAAAGACATTACTTAAATGATTGTGTGTTCGAAGAGTGTGAGACTGTGAGAGCAAGGAAACGAATGAACGCTCCGATTCGAATGCGCTTTGGGAGAATGACTAGAAATGCTGCCATAGTGTGATGCGGTTTGTGTATGTGTGGGAACGAGTCTGACGGGTTTTGTAACACAAGCACAAGCATTCTCAGCAAACACGTTTAGCTGACAGTAGGAAAATTCTACATTTACGTAAGCCACAAATTCGCTTACGTGCAAGTGTCTCCCGGTCTTGCTTTGGCACAAGAGATAGGTTTGATATGCCAGTTGTCAATGTTACCAAAATCGATTGCCAATGCGAGCTCGATGGAGGGAAATTTTCACAGTACAATGATGACAATGAGCTTGCTCAATGCTCTCTCTCGCATACACACAACGTGCTCTTTGCATCGTTCACCTTTGATTTTGTAACAATTGATCACTAGAGTAAATTTCTCTACAACACAAGACTAGAAAAACAAAAAGAGAGCGAAAGCAAAACGGATAACAGCCAGAGCAACAGCGAGAGCGTGAAAAAGAATCGCAAAGAAGAGAAGAATACAGAAAAATACGGAATATTCTTGTGCCATTTCGATGCAAACGAATATTTTTCCATTTGAATCACGATCGCACAGCAAAATCGAAGCGGATAAATTGCACCAAAAACGTGTCACAACCCAATCGAAAATTATGTGTATCGACATTGTTCGAAGTTAATAAATTGTAGCAACTGAATTCATCGCTGCTGCATCTTTTTTTATGAATATATTCAATAGTTTAATATATATTAAACTTGTGCACTTAAATAATACGACCGAAAAAGTGTCAATAAATTCAATATCATCATGCTTAGTGCAGCGAGCAGAATGTTGTTAAATTGCATTTTTGGCATTCGCGTGGAAATTTAATGAAAGCAGCTGTCGTGTGGAAAAGTTGCAGCAAGCAAGAGAAATGAAAAAAAAAACCTACCATAAAGCAATTTTAATCAGAGAACTTTAATCGTTTGCAATTTTCGGTGCAAACGACAACAATTTCGGTAAAACAAAGTCTCAATGGAACAAAAGCGCTTTATTGTGCAATGTGCATGCATTAACAGCGATTAACAAAGTGATTTTAAAGCGAATTTTTACCCAATTTTGCTATACATCAAAGAGTTTTGCAAAATTTAATGCGGATGGTGGTAGTACTGTTGAAATGCTGTCAACATCAACGATTCAAAGAATACCGTTTCGGTCCATTAAATGCATTTGCCGCGTAATGTTGCCGATGCATTTACGAGAGAGAAAAAAAAACTATCGATATAAATTAATGTCGAAATGGGCTCATTTTCTATAGATACGTAGTGGTTATAAGCGATTTCCTCACTTTTTCTTTTTCTCTCTTCCTCTACCTTGCTCGCTCTCTCTCTCTTTTTCTTCCTCCTCACTCTCTATTTATCACCCATCGCTCCCTTACTCTCTCCTTCGCTTCGCAAACATTTTGAATACGGGAAATAATTTTACATTTAAACTCAACACCATTTCAATATTAAGAATGAAATTGCATAAAAATCAAATTGAAAATGTAATAATCGAATCATATTTTTTCCCCTTTCTTTCAATTTTTTCTTCTTCTTTGTTTTTGTTGTAACCAATGGTGAAAATCGGAAAAGGCCACGAGCATCGTTTACGTAACAGCGAACTTCAACCGCCCAGTTCGGAAGTGCAACATGATGCCGATTCGCTAACGGAAAATGAAATTTCCAGCAGTGCAACAACGATGACGATGCGGCCATCGTCAACAACAACGACCCTAACCAAAACTTTTATTTCACTATTTCATTTAAAAACTTCAAGTGCATCATTAACGGCGAATTTAATACTTAACATATTGTTGGCCCATAGTAGTTATAGGGTCATAATGTAGCTAACGTCTATCATTTAAGCATTTAATGCATAACCCAATTTATTTTAACGAAACAAAAAAAAAATATAAACTAATATAACAATAGTGCATATACCACGGCAGCAACAACACGAATAACAGTAAAGAAACAGCGTAAAACACAAATTATGCAATAGTCAAACACAGAAACAACCAGCAAAACAAAGAGAAAACACACACACACACAAACCAACATTATATAGATATACATACATACAGACAAAAAAAACTCGCATTGTTAATTCTTTGTATAGTTTGAATTGTGAGTTGTGACTTTGAATGTGTGCGTGCGCGAGTGGTGAGTATGTGTGTATATGATTGTATTGAATGGAAAACTGAAATTGGCCACGTATTCATTGAATGTGCAAGTGCATTTCGACCGATCTCGATTGTGTATTATTATCCGAGAGACCCAGATAAAAGAACAAAACGGCAACGAGCTCACATAACTTTAACTCAGTTTTTTTTTACTGTCGGCGTGAAATGTAAGACGCAAAACGAAACGAGAAAAAAGAATGCACCATGTTCTATATAAACAGTAACGATAACAATAACGGAAACTATGCAAGATGGAAAGGAATAACCCGATTATGGATGGAATCTAGTCGTATACACCGAGAAAATATTTTGTAAACCAAATTACGGAAAAAAACCGATTGCGAACCAAAAAAGATGAGTGCAAAAAAAATTCAAGTAGAAAAAGTGCCGTTTTTTTTTGTTTCAAGCACACAAACTTAGCAGATAGTTAAAGCTTCAACAGTTTGTTTCGTCTATTGTTTTCTTGCATTCGGATCTGCACTTTTGTCAACAATTTAGTCAGTAGTTTTGCATCAATGCTACTTACTGTTGCTGTTTTTTTCTGCGCGTCTTTCGGATGGGGTGAACCCTGAGTTTTTACGACTCACTCACTGTTTCACCGTGAAATGTATCTCCTCGGTTGCGCTCGGTTTCCGTACAAAAGATGCAAGTGGTTTTTTCATTGTGAATAAACAGTGGAAATTTTTTGTCGGCAAATTCATTGTTATTGTTATCGTTTTTTCTTTTTGTTTCTCACTTTGGTGGTGTTTTTTTCGGTCTCAATCTCTCTCTCTCTCTCTTTCGCTCGTATCACACATTCACAAAACAACCGAAACGTACCAGTTGTGGAGGGAAAAAAACAAAGAAACACGTTGCCCTAGAACAAAAGATTCATCGGATGAAAAGGAAAAGCATCTTTATGCAGTGTTCAACCCGTTGACTCTATCAGCACATTACATAACTTATCATCATGTACGTCACAATGCAATAAATTGTTTGTCGCTTATTTTTTTTTCTTTCTGCTCATGTCTTTCGTGGGAATATACAGTTTGTCAACGAGTGAGCGTGCGCGGGTCCCACGAGAGAATGAGGTATATTAAATGAGAAAAAGACAGAGAGAAAGAGAGCCGAAAGAACGAAAGAGACGTAGAAAGAGGGAGCATCATTTCTCCATGGTTTCAAAATGATGACTCGCTCTTGTTGTGACTTTGCAACGGAAACGAACAGCGGAAAATGCATATAATGATAACATATTAGTGTAAACGCAACTTTGCGGTTTTATGCAGCTTTTGTCATTTTCCTACAATGCAAACAAAACAAGACGAAAACAGCACATTTACAGAATGACAACTAAGTGAACAACTTTTTCTCTCCACCGGTTCTAATTGAATTCGTTTCAATTGGTTTATGCAGACTGTAAATTCATTAACAAAAACGTACAGGAAACCTTCAGTATGGCGTGCTGAATTGGTTGTTCGTCAGTTGAAAATAAATTCTTTCTTTTCGTAACCTCATTTATTCGAGACTATTGCGAAAGAGAGAGAGAGAGAAATTGTGTCGAAGTTAATTCAAAAACCAACAAAAATATCAGAGATGAAAAATAAAGAGAAAATTTAATTGTTGTTACATGATTTAGTTCATAAGTCACGGTGAGTGAAATGTATTGAATCGGTGCGTTTATGAAACGAAAATGCATGCAATGGGCTGCGATGCATTGTGTTTCGAAATGGGAATGTCAATTGTCATCAGAGTTATACGTAATTAAAAAAGATATAGGAAATTCAAAATGTTTGTTTACAAACGAAGAAATTCATTTAGATGTGCTTCAAATCCAAAAGTCCATTGAAAGCCGAACAACCCCGATCATATTGTAATGTCAATCATGGAGTTATCCGGCTCTCAACCGGCTCTACATTAGAGAATCATAATTGAAAACTGTTTTCTCTCGGTTGAATTAAGTCTACTTTGCCTACATTTAAACGCTACTTGAGAAAATTATCGCTCAGATATCGATGATTCGTGTAAATTGGACACTCACACAGACAACTTTTTTAGGTGAAAATTTCAGAACTATTGTAAATATCTTTAGGAACAATGAAAATATTTATTCAACTGATAAATACAAATTTTAAACTGAAACGAATGTCAATACATCTAAGTGAAATGCAAATATTTAAGTAAATCAATCTCAAATTAAGCATTGTATGGTATTTTTAATTAAATCGAGCCTTTGTTAACTGGGAAATTCGGTAGGTATTCATCAAAATTGGTTTTACATTATTTTAAGTTTAATTCTTGTTTTTAGGCTGGAATTGCTTCTGATCGAATTGAATCCAAAGAATTCCGAATATATAACAGCCGATTCGATGACGATTATTATTGACTACGGTTGACTAAAGCTCACAAATTTATTACTACATGGCGTTTTTGTGTCGCTATGATTCGAAAGCAGGTCATACATTAATTTTGCATAGAGCATTACAGTGCTTCATAGATTCTATTCAAGATATATTGCTCAAAAGTATACCAATCCCTTATGGATTGTATGAATTCAGTAACTGTATTCAAATTGAGTTGTGCATTTCGTTTGTAGTACCGATTGCTTTATTGATGAGAATATTTTATATTACTTTTCCGTACACAACGTGTCAAGGGAAAGTATAGGAATTGGTCCCGAAAACTTTTTTCGCAAAATTGGTTTAGATCATCATAAAAACTCATGAAACGCGCAGAAAACCACTTTTTGAGACACTTTTCCGTTCGTGTGCCGTCGTCGTTGTCGTCGTTGTCGTCGTTGTCGTCGTTGTCGTCGTTGTCGTCGTTGTCGTAGCTGTTTGTAAACACGATAACTCAAAAAATAATTGAGATAATCAAATTCTGGAAACGCCAAAAGTTTTGTATTCGAAAAACTTAGTTTAAGTTCGAAGATGAGCTATTTTCGATTTGATCCTGGGGTACTTGCCCTAAGAAAAACCTCAAAAAATTGACACTTTTGTATGGGAGGTACCTGTAAATCGACTTCGATCGGCTTCAAACTTTCTGAGATTTCATTTTTTGGGAGAAAAATAAGATTCTGAAAGTTTGAAACCAATTGGAATCGATTTACGGGTACCTCCCATACAAAAGTTTTGAAATTTTGACTAAAATTACCGATTTTTGGACAATTTTGTATGGGAGGTACCCGTTAATCGATTCTGATTGGCTTCAAACTTTCTGAGGTTTCATTTTTTGGAGAAAAAATAAGATTCTGAAAGTTTCATGTTGATCGCATGTGCAGAAGTTTGGTTTTTGGCCCTCAATTTTTTCCAAGAAAATGTCGACAAAAATTGAGGACAACAAATCAAACTTCTGCAAATGGGATCAAAATGAAACTTTCAGAATCTTATTTTTTCTCCAAAAAATGAAACCTCAGAAAGTTTAAAGCCAATGAGAATCGGTTTACGGGTACCACTCATACAAAATTGTCGAAGTTTTAGTTAAAGTGACCGATTTTTCACTTTATTTTTGTTATTATATTTTCACTGCCTTTATTTCAAGAAAATTCACAAAAAATAACCAAAAGTATCTACGGACAACGCAGGCCAACGGTACGGAAAAGTTCGGGATTACCAATGTAATTCTTTTTATTTCCTTATATTTTTTGTCAACTTTTGCTATTTTGAACATTGATTCACTTAGATATCTATTTTTCCTTTAACGGTGATGGAAAAGGAATTGCCGGATTTTTTAATTTTGCCAAAAACATCATAGAACGAAATAACTTCGTCTTCTGCCTGTGTAAATCCACTTCCTGTACAATCTATGTCACTGGAAAAATCACTCAAAGCTGGCGAATGCCTTTCGGTTACATAGGAGAATCTGTTGGTTGGCATAAACTCTCTTTCGCGATACGATTGCGGTTCATGCGATTCCCGTTGAAATGAAGATTCAAGGCTTGAACACTCATCTAAAGGTGCAGACCCTTTGCATGTAGTTTTTCGTTGGAAAAAACAACCGTTTCTATTTTGATTCACGTCTTCTACATCGTATCTAAAAGAAAATGCATCGACTGGTGGAAATTTCCGTTGTAAATACGATGGTGCCTCGTATAAGTCGGACTCTATTGAAGATTGTTCATCCAAAGGCGTTGAATTTTGATCAATTTCATACGGCAATCTGCTGGATGTCGTCATTTCTGTTACGTGGTGCTTTGGCGTTTCAGATAAACTCCACTGTAATGGCGATTTTTCATTCAACGATGCGTTCATCGGCGATGATAAGCTTTCCGGTCTATCATAAGGGACTTTTTGTTCGAAAGCACGCCGATTTGGATTCTGATTGAAATTTTCTGCAGCGGAAAATTCATTGGCTCGCCCAAATTCCTCCTGTGAATTCGATGGCGATTCGAATGATTCAGATTGTATTGGATATTCATCACGCAAAAACTCAGTCAATGGCGATAATATTCGGTCGCTTTCATGATAGAATCTACTAGCTGGTGTACGTTCCCTTCGTGGACATAATTCTTCAGTATAGCTGAATGACTTTGATGAACTTTCAATCGAAGAGTCACTTGAAGATGCAGCTTCAGGTATAACGCATGGAACATTTCGCATTGGTTCAAAAGAACGATCAATTCTTTCCTCGTTCAAAACGTCTGCTTTCAATCCAACGGATGACGAGTCAACTGGTTCTAATTCTCTTTGTGTATACGAGGGTGTTTTAGGTAAGTTAAATTGCACTGAGCGCCTTTCAAATGCCGAGTCGTTCAAAGTTGGCAAAATATCTTTAACGATTTCGTATGGTTCAATTCCTAAAAATTTCACGGTACGATCGATTCTTCCTTGACGTATTTCATCTGCATCCAAATCCAATGCCAGGTCGTCTGTTTCACATTCTCCCTGTTCGTGTGATAATACGTCAGGTAAGCCGAATTGGATTAGAGGCTCATCTTGCAAAGACGGCAAAATGTCTTTGGTGATTTCGTATTGGTCAAAAGTAGGATCGATTATACTTTGACTCAAACTATCGGCATTGACATCAACGGCCGGATCATCAACTGGCGTTATTTCTCTTTGTGAATACGATGACGCTTCCGGTAAATTAAACCGCTTTGAAAAACTTTCAACCGAGTCATTCGAAGTCGAAGGAATGTCTCTAGTGATCTCACACGGAATATTTCGCATAGCTTCGAAAGATCGATTCATTTTTTCCTGAACAAAGGATTCTGCATCAAATCCAATGGGCAGTTCATCGATTGGTGTTGATTCTCGTCGCGAATGAGACAGCGCTTCAGCTAAATTCGATCGCGTCAAAGATTCATCACTCAAAAGCTCATCCGAAGACGGTGAAATGCTTTCAGAATCTTCATACGGAGTGGTAACGTTTGGTGTCGATTCGCCATCTATTTCTCCCGTTGCTGTTATTGAAATGGACGTGCCAAAGCTTTCGATTTTGCCGGATAAATCGTGAAACGAAATGATTTTGTGCTCTGTCCCCGGTCCTTCACCCGGTAGACATGAGTGTAAAGGCGAAGGAATGCTTTCGCATGGAATATTCAATGCAAAACAATTGTCGATTTTCATGTTGTCAATTAGTTCGTCGCTGTCCTTTCTCATATTTACTCGTAATCTATCGTGTGATTTAACTGAATTACTATCGCTGTATTCATCTTCGCTTTCAAGTCTGCTTTCGCGACGCTGACGCTTCGATTTACCAGCATATTCATCCTGGATTTAAAAAAAGTGGAAAATTGGTTGCAGCATATTGTAATAATTCTACCAACAAGTTCATTGTAATAACTCAAAGAAGTCATACACTTACATATTCGTCAGAAGCTCTTTTTGTAGATCCACTGACTGGAATGCATTCAGCATTACCTTTATAAAAGTCCTCTGAATCCATTGTTATTCACTTACGCAGCACCGAAATTTTGTTTGTTCTATCGTAATGCAGAAATTGCTACAAATTTTATGCGACTTTCACAAATGGAAAACTCGATATGATCTAGCAGAATTTTTCGATTGATTCTATTTCCAATGGTAGCCTTTTGAGTATTTCATATGAAATGATTTTGATTCTATGAAATGATTTTCAGTAAATAGTCAAAGGGTGCATTTGTAGTGAAATTCAATCACTCAAAATATAGAGCATATGTGCTCTTTCATGGTAAATGTAATAACATTCCTAGTTAACATTGATTATTTCTGCATTTTTCATATTTAATCACATTAATACGCTGCACAAGCAGAAAAAAACACATAAAAATGATTAAATCGTATGAGTTTGACTGATGAAAACATAAATGAATATGCTTGTAGAATATTTTATTTCACATTCTACGGAAAGAAGTTACTGATACATAAAATCAACACTCAAACAAAAAACGCAGTAAACAAACATTGGCACAAAATGAGTATAAAACTTTCGGCAACGAAACTGTATCATTTAAACGAGAACTACACACTTTTCATAAACTCACTATGGCAATGAATGTCAATCATAATGTGAAAGTGATGCAGCTATGCTATTCATCGAGCAAATAAACATCGGATCAACTTAATTTAATCAAGCGTCAACGGTATTTTTGAATTAAATCCATGTATGTGTTGCAAGGAAATTATGTCAGCAAATTGAGATTACATTTTCCGGCAAGAATTAATTGAGTTTGATTCTTGCGCTGCTGAAATTGGTATTAGTTGTCATTGCATTCGATTTGACTTGTGTCCGATTCGAGCATCTGAAAGCTGATTGATTGACATTTATCAATACGAATACATTAAAAATGGTCTCACCAAAATCGATGTTCTCCTACTATGAGTTCATTTGATTTGAAATTGGGTTATCAGTATTCAATTTGTGCATTCAATGGATTTATCCCAAAATAATTTATTCAGTGATTTCTATGCATTTGAAAGTCCTTTGTGAGTGAGGAAATTGTATTGGAAAAGACCTGTGGATTTCTTTTGAAAAACTATTTTTTTTTATTGAGAATGATTTCCAATTTCATTTTGGAATGTAAACGGTATGTGTTCGTCGGTTTTTCCATTGACAGAAATGAAAATGGTTTTAGAATCATTGAAAAATCGAATCGTCCCCGATGCACCGTGAAACTTGATGATTTCATGTGTATGTTGTGGACTCAACGGTGTGTCAGACGTGACCGAATTCGTTGAAGAGTGCTCTGTGTGTGATGAGAATCTGTCATTTTCAGGGGACAGTCTGCTGGCTGGTGTCATTTCTCTTTCTGGACTCGATACTGGATCAATACTGCTTTCATATGGATTGTTTTGTTTGGGTTTCAAAGAATGATCATCGGTTTTTTGATACCCCATTTCAACATCCATACCAATGGACTCTCCGTTATCGTTGTTTTCATTCATATTAACCTCAACATGGTCGTATGTTTCGAAATCACTGTGGTATTGCATTTCGTTATTTGTTGCCGGCGATTCAAACGAATGATCAGATGGTTCTTCGTGCAAATCGATGTTGATTTCAAGCGGAACTCGGTTAGCATTTGGTTCAACATTGTCTGTGTTGTACATGTCAAAACTATCGTCTGACTGCGCAGAATTGGAAAAATTTTCAACTTCCTTACTCGGTTTTGGTTTACTGATATCGCGCCGCGGGCGCTTATAGAAATATCTGGCGATTTCATCCTAACAAGATGTTTGAAGAATGAAATATTTATTTACATCGTCAAAATAATGCATTTTACTAGAAATTCAAAAACTTGTCAGCTTACACATTTCTCAAGGGCTCTTTTTGCAGCCACTCTCACCGGAAAGTGCGCAATACGGTATGCATCACTGTTTTTGTCCGAATACATTGTTTACTTATTCAATGAAATACGAAAAATTTTGCCTTGAATTCAATCCAACTGTAAATTTTGAACGATAACATTTCCAAAGGCAACTTTATATTATTCACTCCAAACATTCAACAGATTAAAATGACGTTGATGATTTTCATCCTTCGTGAATCGCAGTAACTGAAACCAGTCGATTGAATGACATTTACTATATATGGTTGAAAGAGGTATTCAAAGTAAAATTCGTGTCGATGTAATCGCATCAAAGGGAATTCTCTATCTACAATGTGCATGATTTAAAACTTTTTACCGATATCGACTCCGTACATAGACAGATCCAATTTCACGGATCAATTATAATTTTAATGTACACGTATTGCATATTTCAAACTTCATACTGTAAATCAGCTTGAAAGTCGTTAAAACTTTGAAAAATCAATAATTTTACATGAAACTAGAACATGTGAAACTATATAAGAGTGGTTTTCAATTTAACAACATAAAAGTAATCCCAGTCAATAATGAAAAATCATTGGATTTTGAAAAAAAAAAAATCAATCAATCAAAATTAAACAAAAACCTATTTTTAATTGCAAATGTGTGTATTTAGTTAGGCCACAGAATTTCCGAAAATCAAACGAAATCCATCATTTTGCGGTGATCAGTACTTTTTAAATTGTTGCGCTTCGAAATAAAATTAATGAATTGTTGTCGATTTAGTGGTTATGCAGCAATGTGTTAGACACATCACATAATTGAATTATATCGGAATTTATATTACATGGAAATTGGCTTTGCATATATTAAATCCAAATGCAGCTAATAAAATGTGGCTTTTCAGTGAAATTGATTAACGATCAGCATGAACTCCAAACAAAATACCTATTTCATTCGATGTGTTTATTAAACACCTGCATTTCATCATATATTTTATTCAGTACAGTCTGGTGAAAATCTCAGCCACTTGCATCCAATTTTCAACATATTCAAGGGCAAATCATAAATTATTGTTCAAATTCATTCAGTTTGAAAAACTAAATTATTTTTACATGTGCTTTTTTGCCGCTTAGCACATTTCCCCTTTGAACGAAGTCAAGTTTGAGCGATTCGAAGGAGAAATGTGCAAATACTTGTGGATAAACATACCCCACTTGTACTAAAAACAAAGAATATCGCGTATTATACACGTTCTTTTTATTCTTTCGATCATATATCCGTGTACTCGTACTAAATATCCTGAAAACGCTCCATCGATTCATCGGAGTGAACGAATAACAAACCAACTGTTGTATTTTGGGAACGTTTTACCTTCACACTTCAAATGCATTACGAAATTCTATAGAAAATCAGCCAAATTAATCATTCGTCAACACCACTCAATATGCTCAAGCACAGAATAACTTTCTTAGATTTGAGAAATTTTCTACAGAATGTCCAAATTACATTTGAAGCTTCCATGTAAAATGTTGTCAAAATACACCAGTTGCGTATAAACAATTGCTAATTTTAAAATTAACGTTTTGGTGTTATGAAAGGCCGGAAGTTGGAAAATTCATGAAACAAAAACATATTTCGAAGAAGTTATGAGTGTTCAAACGAAATGTAACAGGGAAATTGGCAAGCTCAGTTTGTTTACACTTTCCGCTTTGAATAAAACAAAGCAAGGGGAAATGCGCGCCTGCTTATGTAAATCATTCTCCACTTGTACTAAAAAACGGTTACTCCCGCCAATTCCCCTATCATAGCCATGTACAGTTCTCTGTTGCTCTATCGATCATACGCTCGCGCATTTGTACTAAAAATTATCCTGTTGAAAATGCTCCATCGAATCATCGAAGTGACAAACCGTTCAGATTGTGAGCTTAGCTAAATAAATTCAAATTCTTCAAGCTTTCGTTATTTTCGACCGTTCAATTTTTGATTTGAATGCTTATCGCTTGCCTCCGTATTCACGTGAATTCAGCTTTAACCTCCTGGAACGAATGTTTGAATTGGATATACCTCTGAATTCTTTCCAATTTTGTTAGGAGAATTCTACTTTGAACAGCAAAATCAGTAACATGACAGAATTGATATATTTTCCTATATTTAGATGAGTTCTTATTGTTTCAAATTGAATTGAATTTACTTACATATTCAGATTTCCACTTGACAACACACTGAGCGAAATGAGGTTGTCAGAATCACCAACATGAAGTTGTAAACGAGCGAATTCCAACCAGGGTTGGACATTTTGCGAAATTTTCTCCACATATCCATCACATATAGGTGATAACCTTATAACTGAGTGCAGAAAATTTTGCGAAATGACCAACCCTGGAATTCGCTCGTTTACAACTTCATGTTGGTGATTCTGACAACCTTATTTCTCTCTGTGCAGGCATCAGATTTTACTCAGCAAAAATGAATGCAGACAGAAAAAATGAAAAGCGAAGAGAAACACTTGGAGGATTTGAATCCGCTAATTGTGTGTTACTCCCAGCGGAATAAAACGCAAGTCAATTTACTTTGTTATTATAATTTTATTATTTCTTGCTGTTTTTGTTTTGTTAAATCAATAATATTACAACGCTATGTTTTTGATGCTTAACTCTGTAATATTTAATGCAACATGCTTAATCGTTAAGCTGTCATTGGTTTGCGACAATCGGTAATTTTGTCATTATCGTCGAAGCCAATTTGGACATGATAGAAATGAGTGGATACTGATGTCATTGTCTAAACAGTGCATTTTTTTCAATGAGTAAATTGTACAAAACGATAGACTTTCGATAGTTGCATCGAAATAAAAATTGTGCTCACAGTATACATAATGCATAAGTTTCTTTTTGTTTTGTATGTTCAGATATGTTACGATTTGTTTGTGCTTACAACTAAACGCAAAAGTTGGAGAGATAATTTCGTCAACAGAGAATGATTTATCGGTTGGATATATGGCGGATAGAAAGATAGAGAGTGAGTCAGTTTGGTTGTGTTTTTTTTGTGTGTTTCGTTTGATATGTTTTTCATTTGGGAAATCGATCATCGAGTGCATTATCATCAATTTTGGGTTCGTTAATAAATGTGTGGATAATTCTCCGAACACTTAAAAGCTTTTTACGCGGGTAAACAACCACATGAAGCCGTTTTTTTTTAAATGTTACGCATTAATTATTGAATTATGTAGCCGGACCGCCTCTAAAATGCTGTTAAAAAAAGAGAACAATGGCTTTTAACCTAATTTTAAAAATATATATATCCCTTGGTTCATTTTTCCCGTTTCAATTCGACAGATTTTATTTCGGGTTAAAATGTCCGAAAACTCATGTTGTGTCAATTAAACGAGGTGATAAGTGCTGCAAAATGGGTCAATTAATCATTCCAATGCACTTCATTAGATAAAACACTCAGCACTGGTGCGCTCGCTCGCCCGCTCGCTCAGTTTTAATTAACATCGATCAAATTCAACGATATTTTATTGTAAGCACGACAACTTGTTTTTTTTTTCTTCTTTGGAAATATACACAGTTATGATTCAATGTTTGGTTTTTGTTTCCTATTTACAATGGTTTTTGTTTTATAATTCGTGTTTAGCTTAGCACATACGCTTCTATATTAGTTCCTATGAAATTAACAGGTATTAACAATATGGTTGGTAAGTTTGTGGGTTTTTTTTCTCTGCATTTGTAGTACACACAATTGCAAGTGAGGAAAACGAAAAAAAAACGAAATAAACAGCGCAATTTGATTGGTTGACATGTTGCTGAAAGCGATTGGCTTTTCATTTATCCTGCCGTCATACGGCTGCTGATACCGCTACTGCTGTGATCATGTGGCGCTTTTATATCTCTTATTATTTGCTTGCTCATTTTTTGTTGCTGTTGTTGTTCATTACTCCCATTCGATATGTTGATTGATGATGATATCTAAATGATGTTCAATGAATACACGGAGTGTTTTTGTACACCACAAAACTTCCGATTCAATAATTCAGCCCAATCGAAAGCGACATCATTTATTGATATCAAAGCGATGATGTGGTTGTCCGCACCACCGATAAAAGCGTTGTCGCTAATGTTGACACAAACACCATGGACGCTACCGATATCGTATACACACCCTTTGATGATATTTTGATGCTGTGACCATTCCGTTCATCACGCATTAAATCTGTAATTTGCGAAAACACACAATTAATATGGACAGCACACAGAATTTGGACAGAAACTTTGGTATGACAACTATTTATATATTAGGTATTGAGTTTCGTGTTGATTTCAAATTTAACATGCTGTCATTGGAGCAATGAGATTTGGTTTTAATTCAACAGCGACTTTTCAATTGATTCAAGAGAGGAAAAAATTAGATCTATTTTTGCAATGAATCTATTTATTTCATGGGAAGAATAAGGATAAAGAAGAAGAAAAAGGGGAAAAAAAACAAATGAACGAAAAAAATATGGGAAGAAGGAAGAACAAGAATGCGTAATAGAAGAAAAACGAAGTAAATTTTCAACACAATTTAGAGAAGAATTCTTTTACGAATTACTTAAACATCAAATTCTATGGCATTTAACCAGCTTTTCTGTGTGAAAACGACCGTAAACCTTGACCCGATATTTTGAACTGATTTTCATTTTTCCCTGAACCATTTCATAACAGCGATTCGTGTTATGTACTAATGTATTCTCGTAAATGAGATCTAATTTAAGAATACTTAAAAAGAGAGTATGGTTTCACTAGCCTCATTGCCTTGACTAAAAACCATTTAAATAATTGGCAAAATATCGAAATTACAAAAATAGAGTGGAAGTGCTGGTCAAAATGTGATCTTGTATGTTTAACAAGTGTTAAGCAAATGTACAATAATTTTCAGTTTGAAGCTTTGCTATGAGCTATGGTTAATGGAAATGGCATTGTTTGGTATTCAAAAATAGGAATTTGATCCATTCAAGTGGATTTCAATCTCAATTTCTTTTAAAATCGATAAATACGTTTTAATTGTATCATTTTTTTTTAATGGGATGAGCATTTGTGCTGATGTTTGATTTAATCTAAAGTATTTAGATTTGAATAGGCATTAAATTGTCGATCCATCAATTAATCGCATCGTATTCCGCTAATTTATTTGGCAATCAATTCAAAATTTGTGACATTTGTGCAAATGTAATCTACGGCGAAGCTAAAGCAAACAGAATAATTCCGTCCGAAGATTAAATGTTTCCTTCGAAGACAATACGTATTTATAAATGCTTGGTTGATGTTGACAATGGTCGCAGTCACATGTTCATATGTTTGTGCCCAAACGCAATCGGACCGGATAAAACAATTGTGTGTGTGTGTGTGTGTGTGTGCATGAGTGTGGGATACACTATTTATATGTACATCAAATAGTGCAAACGATTTCGACCACATTTCAAATGAATCATTTTCACCGTATAATGCGCTTTACAGAAGAGAATATATATATTCAGGTTGGTTGTGATGATGTCCAAGGGTTTGAGTGTTACACATTTGAAAACCGAGCTCATTTTCGTTGAGTTCGTTAACAATTCAACACAATTCCAGTAGACACATTTTATGTGACGATGAAATTGTGCACATAAATGCGTGCATGTGCGCGCGTGTGTGTGTGTGTGTGTATCCAGCGATTTCAAGCATCAATTGAGCTCGGTTTTCGAAATGGATGCGGTGTTGATGAAAATGAAAATATTCTACACCAAATATCATGCTAATTATTCTATGGCCAATGGCACACACCATTGAACGTTTGAAACAAATGTTGTCTGCTGCTGCTGCTGCCGTTGCTCGTCGGTATTTGCAAATACAGTTTTACTGATGAAATCACAGCAGGTGAGATTGCATAGCGAAATAAACGTCAATCACAAGAATGTAAATAAAAATTTCGCTGCTACCCGAATGTGAATCGAATACCGTACATTGTTCCACAAAAAATGATTTATGAAAGAGCTGCGGTTCGTTTGCGCGGTCATCAAAGTGACTTAAAATGCATTTAAAACCATTTGGTATGCACGAGCTTCGAGAACGGGGTGATTTTACGTGCATTTATCATGTTTGCATTGAAATTTCGATCGGTCAAAATGTCCATGTTTTATATTCATATTTTCATTATTATAGAATCCAAACAAATTATTATCAATGGGAACAATGCAAATTCTTCGTTCGTATTGTTGTTATTGGAGGGTAAATAAAATCAACAGAGATTCGTTGCGGTCACAGTGTATAAAAATCAAACTGACGGTAGCAAACACAAAGAAGAAAAAAAAACAGCTGGAAGTTTGAATAAGGTTTTTCGATAAATGTGAACAATCAAGCGTGTAAACCGCATTCTCCCTTCCACCCGAAGAATAAACAAAACTTCACGTATAATTTTCTAGTGATTATTTTTCAATTTACGAACACCACCATCCCAAAAGTAGCGGTTTTGTGTAATTATTTGTTGTTCTAATTATTAGTTAGTATATATAAAGAGAAAATGATATGAATCTAATCGAATTCCAAGCAGAAAAACCAAAGAGTTCAAGTGAAATCGACGTCCTGAATCAAAGCAACAAATCGACCAAACAATGGACGCGATCCAAATTGAATTTCAATTGTAACGAAGCCATTGTTCGGTTGACGAAATAGTCGAAATAAACGAGAAGACGCCGAAAAGAAAACTCACCTTTTGCGTTTTCGGGGTCATCATCGGCAATATCATTAGACTCATAATTACTATTTCCTTTGCGAGCTTTCCCTGTGTGGAAAGAAAGGAGTTGCGTCTTAATAAATACTAACGATCACACCACACAAAGGAAAAAACAACAGCAACAACCAACGGGAACACATTCAAATTAGAAGTTAGTAGCATAAAAAACAAAACAAAAGGAAAACTCTGATTGTACCACCAATCATGAAAAACGAATCATTAGAATTGTAACGAATAATAAAAAAACGGATTAAAAGCGAAAAAACCACTAGCAAACTATGGAAAAACTAGAAAAATATTACAAAAGGAAAAGAAATTCTACTCAAAAAGACGTCGTCGTTCGCCAGGGGAAATGAAAAGTTGGCGAAAAAGAAAGATGATAGAAAACCAATTTGTAAACGTACCTCTGTACGGTTTCTCCTGTGTGTCAATCGAATTTATTGTATTTTTCGGAATTTCTAAAAATAAATGCGAATAAAATCGAGTTACCTTCAAAAAAATCGCAATTTTTGTTTTTCTTTTTTTTTCCGCTATATGAAACATGACAAACTACTGATTCAAAAAAAGAAAAATGCCTGCCTCGTTGGTGAATGTCAAACGAAAGAATAAATTAAATGCCAACGTGAATTTAGTGTCTTTTCAATTTTCTAAACAAAACACAAAAATGAACAAAGCGATTGCAAATACGGTGTAAATAAATATCAACTTACTGTATAGTTTTATTGTGCTGTCCGTTTCACCGAGTGAATTTTTGGCGATGCATTTATACGATCCAAAATCGCTGGGACCCACCGATTTGATGCGAAGCGTCATATCCGTTTTGTATGTGCTCTCATTCAATATGGATTCAAAATTTCCACCTAATCAATCAATGTTTGAAACGGTTAATTAATTGTTTGGCAAATAGATACTTCCTCAACTCGATCTAATCGAAACTAGTGCAATTCATGACCGAGAATTTGTTCCAATTAAGCTCATGAAAAAGTGCTTAATTTGATACGAATCATTTCCTCTAGGAAATCAAATGATCGTTTTCGTCGAACGATTTCCAATCGGTAAATTAGTTCAATTGTTTTCATTCATTTTTAATGAGTCGCTCGTCGAATCGCGCCAATTTGCAAATACATTCGCGAATCTTATAGAATGACGTAAGTGGAAAACTTTGTCTCGGAATCATTCCATTCAAACGGCAAATTGAGTAGACGTCTTTTCAACGGCTGGCTGTGACATAATTCACACTTCGTTTCGTTTTGGTGGCAGTTTCATTGACAAGTGGAATACATAGACATCGTATTTTTGGTACAGTTCACAGAGAAATCAGTTGAACATATTTCAATGTGCCATCTAAAGAGTGCTCTTTCTCATGAGAAATGGTAGTGGTTAGCAGGCAGCTCTTTGCGTCTGTCTGAAGTGTTATAATTTTACATTTCAAGTGTTAAATGAGTAGTTTTGAGCGAAAATGTAATACAGAAAAGTGGCGCGGAAAAATGTCGATGATAAATGAGTGAAAAATGGATAGCTATGTAGTATACTGTATAGTAAACCATGGTGAACTATATAGCTATCTCTTTTCATTTGACATTTTTCCGCGCAACTTTTCTGTATTACATTTTCGCTCCAAACTACTCAAATATGAGTGAGTTCATCAATTTTTGGGTGAATGGCAAAGCGGCGCAAATAATTAAATCCAAGATGATCTTTCTGGTCTCACAACAGCACACTAAGTGGTCCATCATTCAACAAAATTGATATAATTTGTGCAATGCAGCGAACCACCTAACTAACAAAAGAAAATGGTATATGTGTGTGTGGAAGAGAGAGCGAGAGATTTATTGAAACAGATTCTCCGCGAATCGACTCAATTCATTATATTCGAAGAGAGCGATAGAGAGGAAGAGAGATGGAAGAGATAGAAGAATAGAGAAAGACAGTTCGTTCTTAATTCATAAATCCAAGATATCATCATCGATGTGGTGTTTGAGCATGGGTGGGGTTTGCGTGAATAATTCAATAAATTCTCACGAGGGTATTTCATTTGGAATTTGCTTCCATCATTTTAGCTGCAAAGTGAAATATTACATTAATGTATTCGTGATTTGTGTGTACTTTATTTTAATGAATTGCAATTTATGCATTCTTATCGATTTCAAGAGATTCCGACGTCGATACGTGCGCGTACGTGTATTGGAATGAACAGGAAAGAAACACACCGATAAGACGGACAAGTAATGGCTCTTATGAAATCACGATTTTCTATCAGTTTTTCCATCGATTTTTTTCCGTTGCTGCATTGAAAGACCATTGTTATTATTTTGCTATTGCTGTTTATCGTTTAAGTGCAACAAATATTGACAAATTTATAGCTATATGGTAATTATTCATAATCTGGACATTAACCCGTGCGTTTGCGCGTAATATGATTCAAACAATAAAAAGTAGCACGGATATTTAGCCATATTGTGTGACCCTGAGTTCCAATTATGACGATTGTATTGTTTGGTTATTAACGAACTTCATTTGCTGTAATAATGTAAGTGCACTGCCAACTGCCAATTGTATTCATTACCGCTAATGATTGTCTCTATCACTGTGTGTGTCAATTTTCAGGCATTGAAAAATTACACGCCACCAATTAGTGCATATATTGTTCGAGATGGAGTTTCACTTTAAATTGTTGCAAATAAAGTTTAACAATGTACAGAAATGAACGACTTTTGATTATCTGCATCCATTTTCATCAGCTTTGCAATTTGCGAAATGCAAATGAATTTCGCTCCATCTCTCTTTCACTCTCACTCGTTGTCTGCTCGCCCTCTGCTTGTAGAAAAAGTGCGATGTTAACAATTCAAAAGCGTTTATTTATTTTTTTCGACCGAGAATTTTTCATTTATTGCCATTTTTCATTTGGCGCGCTAATTAATGGAAGCATTTCATGTTCGAAATATGTATATTTTTGGTTCGTTTCCTCTTTCTCTTCTCGGAACGCGAGCTACTGCTCTATTTGGACAGCACCACTACTCATTGGTCTACCAGATTTATGAATTAAATAAATCCGCTTGCATTTCTATCCGCTGGTAAACAATCCATTTTCACTTTCTTTCTCACTTGCAATCTCTCTCTGTCTATCGCTGGTCTTAATAGAGGGAGTGAGAGAAAAATACGAGCACTTAACACCATTGAAGCTGCATCTATTTAAATATTTACGCTCCTTCAAGCATCTTAATTGCTGACTGAAGAACTGAACCACTCGACTCGAATGCAAAAAAAAAAATATGAAACTAAAAGAGAAACAGGATAAATGGACTGAACGAGAGAGTAGAGAAAACAGGAGCAGTATTGTTGCAGCACACAGTGCCCAACTGATGAATCATCTGTCTGCGGACAAAGAAATGGTTCAATGAATGTTGCTTCATCAATAATTTGTGCTCAATCATTTATTTCGTTTCAGTGATTTCCGTTCGGTCAGATATGCAATTGTCCGATTTCGATCAGCTTCGCCATTGTGTGATTGTGTGTGTGTGTGTGTGTGTGTGTGTGAAGGCGAAAAATGTTTACCAGTCATCACTTCAATGCATTTGGTAGTGTTTTTGGGCGTTTCGAAAAGAAAAACATACACACAACACTAATTCCTGATAATGCGCCCATAGACGGTAGTCATAACAGCAAAATTACAAAATGTATAACGATTAACGACACTGAATATGATCCGCATTTGTACGTATCTGTGAGTACCGACTAGCAACGTGCATGCTCTCGACACACTCCTTTGCTGTTGCCACTTTCGGTTTTGGCATCGGGTTCGGCCCTCTCTTACTCTTTCACATACACACGCACCCAGAGAACAGCATACAGACAACCGTTTCACACCCGCAACAAAATTTGTATAATCAAAATTATACCCTCATTCAAAGCATAAATATTTTACACTTGAATTCACAAAGATAATGCTCGATTTACATGCACACACGCATTTTCCACTCGCATAATCGAGTCAACGACGGAAAAGAGAGCAAGCGACAGATAGACTGAGAAAGAAAAAAAAAGGAACGAGTGAGTGAGTGAAAGAACAAGCGAGAACACACACGCTGATCATATTAACTGAATTTGTAAATTCCGTTCTCATTTTTTGCTCTTAAATAAGAGCTCGTACCATAACTTACGAAACATTTGCTTTCGTATTAGTTGGATTCGATTCGGTTCGGTGTTAGAGAGATGAAAGTAGCGGTGTTGTGCATGTGTGTGTGTGTGTTGGTGATGCTGCAAATTGTAGCTCCCGCGCGAGATTCATACAATTTCGTTCACATAGTGTTGTTGTTCACTGTTGCAACGGCAACGAAGACACGTAACACGAGCGCGAGCGTTCGTCTTTTATGGCGACGGTGAAACAAAAACGATTCAAATAACGATTTTATTCAATTTTTTTCCGCCTCGCTATCTTGTGTGTGTGTGTGTGTGTGTGTGTCCTCGATCCATCCACAGCAGATACTCCTTTTGCCATTTTTCCGTGTTTGTGCCGCAATTTTCGAAATTAAATTCTTCATTTTCATTTTATCGTTAAACGTGCCATACACCAAAACACAAACAAAGATGCTTCAATCAGCGCATTTAAAGTTGTGCCCCGGATCAGAAGCAAGAAGAAAAAAAAACTAATATGCACATTTTCCTCGTCAATAAAAAGCATAAACAATCCAAAAGTAAATGCATTATAAATTGACGCCTGCCGAAAAAAGAGTTGCGCTGAGTTGCGGCTTATGCAGAAAGCTTTCCTAGGAGAGAGAGAGTGAAAAAAGGAAAGAGAAAAATGCGACGCTTGTTTGCCAACACAAAAATTCATTCGACATTCATAGTTTTCATTTGTCGTGGTTGCTTTTGAATGCTTCCGTCTTATTCCTGCGAATTCAACTTGTTCGGCTCGAATGCAAGGATGTTCTTATCGTTGTTGTTGTGTCGAATGCGTTTCTTTTCATTTATCATCGAAATTGTACTCATGCTACTTTCACACCGCCCGCCTTCGCTACAATAAAACGTATAGTACAGCTTCTGCACCGTTTGTTGGTTTTGCTAGCGGCAGCGAACGTGATGTGTTTGCAGAAAAATATGTATGTTGGTTGTTTGTACAAATGCCGAACAGGCACAAAATTCCATGCCGCCCTCTCTCTTTCTCACACTCGTATGTGCGCACTACGTAATTAATATCTTCATTATCATTAAATTATTATTGTTATGATGTTGGTGGCACTGCTACTTCTCTCACTCATGCCCGCTCTGTCTCTATGAAGCTGCATGCTGCTCTCGCAGCACGTTCACTTTATTTTCATGCGATTTAATCAAATAAGATACAAATAATGAGATCATTATGATTGTGCTTTTTCAGCGATATGCTCTTTATCGAAAAACAAAACCAGCGCCCGCACCTTTTGCACAACCGCAACCAAGGGGTGAGAGAGAGATATTTAATTTGTTTGGATGGTGATGAGAGTGTGTATGCCACATTCAATCATATTTCGTGATTTTTCGTCTAGTCGAAATGTTGATTTATTTTATTAAAACTTTGAGCTTGTTTCGCGGTACGAAACCCACCATTTTGATGACTTAAGCATTTAAGCTATATAAATTGCTTTCGAAATCACTTCAACTGTTTGAAGGATTCGAAAATTTTAAATAACAAGTCTTTATTTACCTGATACAAGAATGTTGTTATTATTGTTGATGTTATTGTTGTTTGAGAACGTCCAATAATTGATCGATTTTGGATAGGCTTCTGTACTGCAATGTAGAGATATACTCTGGCCTTCGTACGCTCCCACCAATTGATTTTGAATTGAAATCATCGGCGAAACTAAAATTTTGTACGTGAGAGAGAGAAAAAATGACAAATTTAATAGAATAAATCTCTGTTTTCATTGCCTCAATGAAACCGCATTTTATGTGAAAAAAATATTCGCTCTTTGATCGGTTAGAAGTCAATCCATAACACATCACTCATCATCACACATAAAAGCCCAAACCAATGAGTTTATTATTTAGGCGAATGCAACGTTTGCGATTGATATGTGAAAATTATGTTGTGATTTTGACAGTTCGATGCACTAAAGTAACTGCAGCGATAGCATTCCATCGAATTGTGAATTATTCAAATCACGGTGCCAGAGATAAATGCTTGTAATGTTTGGCTTTCGTTGCCTGTTACTCGAAATAATTGAAATGATCCCACCGCAAAGCCTCCAATCAAATGCATGCGAACAGACAGAGTGGTCGGAAATGGTGGGTGTGTTTTTTTCAGTCCCTTGAAACCACTTCATTCAGCCCGTGTGACCGATGTCTTTCAACCTTCAGAGATGGTTTGCTTCAGGTCGACGAATAATTTTTCATCACGACGCACAAATAATTCAGTGTATTGCTTTGGCACACAGTGTTTTTGTTCTTTTCAATATGGTTGTTGGTTGTTGTTTTTTTCCACTTGCAAATTTTTGGTTTTTGTGTTTGAACTTCATCGCGCGTCGTTGGTCACAATGCATGAAATTGATATAAATTTCGGCCCCGGAATGTGTGTATGTGTGTTTGTTAGTATGCGAGAAACGGTGTGACAAATTCATCATTTATTCGTTGTTCATAGCGAGAACCGTTAGCTAGAGGCATTAAATCACACTCGGTTTACCGCCGGCATGTGTGTACACCATGTGAATGTGTTATGAATTGCATACAGGAAACCGTATATAATTTGTGTGTAAATCCGAAATAATAATTTGAATTAGCCGGCCAAGCAAATCGGAACCAGTGCAGCCAGCTCAACGAACGGCAATGTGAGTGAGTCAACAGCACACAAATAATATTGCATAATAAATGAGTATTTGCCTACTTACAGTGTACAATCAGTGTGATTCGTTTGCTAACCGATGGCGGCACTCCATTGCTCGCTATACGAAAACGAATATACAGTTGCAATTATACTACGACCGATATAGGTAATATATGTATGTATGGTCTAGCTGAAAAATGAAATATTTAAATTTAATCAAATCAAATCATACCGATACACAGGAAACTCCCCATGTGAGTGCGATCAACACGTGCTATGGGCAATGTTGAACCTTCCGCAAACACAACTACAAAATTGACCCATGGACATGACACAGGCAGGCAGGGTGCGGGCATCCATCGAAAATTTGGAAAGGGAAAAACCAGTTTGAAAATAGTACTATTTATACAAATATTTACACGGTCAAATAAAATTTGATGCATTTAATTAGCCGCGGTTTGCGAATTTAATGTCCATTGAAAATGCTTTTAGCTAACTAGTCCAATTGATTGAACATAGATTTTATTACCGTGGCTATCAACTCATTCATTAACCGATATAAATTTTTAACGACTTTCTCTCACTCTCTCACTTCTCTCTCGCACCGGTTTTAAAATAAAACTGCACAAATCGGCTATAAAATGAATCGGAAAATGAACACATTAAGTGACCGAGTCACTTCGGTCTAAAAGCTTTTCTAGTTGTCGAATTTTGTTCCATTTTCCACAATCATTTGGCTTATTTTGTTTCTCTTCAATTAATCTCTTCCATTTTGCAATTGTTTTTAGATTTTTCACATTTTACGGATGTTTTATTACTGAGGCGTGGATTTTATACTATTTTTAATCGAAATGTCATTATGCTTTCAAACTATCTAATGGAAAACATTTTATTGTGCTCGGATTGGAAACCAATTGGACATGAAATCAAGAGAAGAGGTTTTAAGAGAAAATAAACCCACTCTTGATAAACATAAATAATCTCATGTTCTTTAGAAGCGCTTTCTTGAGTGAACATTGTATTTGAAATGAGCAACAAGCCTTGCAACACTCCTTTCTATTAATATTTTGGGGTCAACAGAGTTTGTTCATCGATATTAGGCTGTAATCAATACAGTTCTTTGAACCATTAAACACTGACTCTATTTGCGATTGTATGATTTTCATTTTAATTCCTATTTGTAATAACATTTTTTTAAGCTCATTTCATTCATTTTATTTTCAATAACATTCACATTCGTCTGAACTGAGCCTGGATACAGACACTCTCTCCATGACGGTCACCATTTCAATTGGTGTTGAAGTCAAAGAGAGTAAATTTTCTTGTAAGTTGACTGCTTAAAAATCGATATTCCTTCTGTAAGGACATCGTACATAGTACACACATAGCAAAATATCATTACGGCGATAACGACCTACATGAAGAACGACACAATAGTATAATCACAAAGACAGAAAAAAGCGATATGTTCATATTCCGTAAATGGTTCGTTTGTGTTTACATTTTGTATTTGAATTTAAATATGTTGTAGCATTTAATAGACGGCATAGTCAACGGCGTTCGTGCGCCATATTATACGATTATAACGATATTTATTGTTTCGTTCGCGAGAAAAGTGCCATACAGTGTTCTGTGTGTCGCGTTGTGATCATTTTGTCGTTGGAAATAAGGAGGAGAGTAGAAAATTACTTTTGACAATTGCATACGAATGCAAAAATATTTATTAGAAATGGTCGATTTGTAATGGAAAATTTGCGTGTTGAATTTTCGGGACTTCAACTTTTAGCGTTTATTCAGTATGATATATTTGCTGTGTGTAAAATGGTGAACAGTTGGTTGAATGACAATGGCTGAACTACAACTCATGAGACAGGAAAAGAAACAGCTGACAACCGATTTAGCAACGAAGCATTTCAGTTAAAATAAGAGACAATACGAATTGTGAACGAAGGGACGAAATGGAATATGTGTACATAGTAAAAATGTGCAAAAGTTTCAGTTTCATTTTTCCATAGACACATCCAACACACGGTTTGTTTCCCAGGAGCTGATGAACATTTCCTCCGTTTTTATCTTCTTATGCTTATTTTACTTGGTTCTTTTCCGTACACATTCATTTGCAGTGCATTGAATGTTTGCAATTGTGTGTTTTGATTGCGAACTCATTGTATTTTCTCCATGAATATCTTTCAATCTGATGGACAAGCGTTCATATTTTCTTCGCTTTGTGGTGAAAAAAAAAGAAATTCTTTACAGAAAAATGAAAGTCGATGACTCACTGTCTCAATGGGAGAAAAAAGAGAAATAATTCAATTCAAATGGAGTAATTCAGATAGAGGAACTAAAGGATGAAACTCGAATAGTGTTCGGAGTCCGGAATCTGAACATTGGATAGCAAATATATCACAAAAGATGGAATTCATGTATTTGCGATACAAAAATTATTTCACTGAATGCATTAGAACATATTTCACTGAATGCATTAGATGTTGAATACAATGTCCAAAAAATGGAGCATGTTGGAAATGCGGCTGAATTCAACGAAAATGCGGATAATTTGAACGCGGCAAAATGCGATCGAATTCAAAGAAAATGTGAATTAAATTCAAGGAAATGTCTTATATCCACCCGAATGAGAAAAAAAACGGGGACATTTGAGCAACAAAGTGACGAATTGGTTTGCTCGCGCAAGCACCGTCACAAACTAGCTGCTGCTGCTGGTGTACGAAATTTCGGTCGTTAGAAAATTCCGAAAATTGATAACAATAAACTAAATCGGTCGACAAAGTGAATTTCTATGTAGTTTGTTTTATGCGATTCGCGTCGCGGTGCGCTACCCAATTTCGTTTGTGTTTTGGCTGATTTAATGTACTCTGTGTATCGAGTGTGTACTGTGTGTATCGCGACTTGTGCTCGCTTGTTCGTTTTCAATTCCACATCGTTTCGTGCTGCAAATAATTTGTTCGTTGTGTGTGCACACGATTTACGATTTTGTTTGTTCGGTGTCATTTATATGTATATTCTTCGTTCGTTTTTTTTTCTTCTGTGACTGGAATTCGATTAATTTTGTTTGTTTTAGCACGCTTTTTTACGCACGTCAACAAACGCTTTGTAACTACTGGGGTTGTTATTTTTTTTTTCGGTTCTATTTTTTGACTTTTGGGAAACAATGGCAAAGTGTTTTCTTTGATAAATCAAAATGATTCATAATCTGCATTGACGAGAATGACACGGCCGAACTAAAATGAATAAAGCGCGAAAAACAATTATCGTTTGACGAAAACACGGTGTGGTGAGTGACAAGAAAGCGTTGAAGCATGCAAATTGCATCTAGATTCCAATGATATTTGACTATTGAGCACAAAATCATTAATCAAAATGTGAATGTGGCGGTCGTAAAAATCACATTGTAAAACGATTTTTCTGCTGTCCAATTCGAATTATATGCGATGGCATTGAGGGAAGAAGGATTTTTATGAATACCAAAGATATTGAGCGCACCTTGTGTGAATTGTGACATTTATAGATTATACTGCATTGGAATTTCAATTCATTTCTCCGGCTCGGAATCGATTTAGCGAAAGGAACATATTGCACACATCAAATGTTCAAGCGGTTCTATATTGACCGATTTGTCTGCGAAAAAAAAACGTGCGAGCTTCTTTGGCGCCGCTTCCCACATCAAGTGAATTAGTCCAGAAATTTATGTTCATGTTTGCGTCGTCGTTTACATTAATAATAGATACATTGGCGTTGCCATTTTTACTGGCACCTGTAATACCAAATGTGTGCTAATTTTACGAAGAATTCCAAATTAAATTGAAAATGTGCGAGCGGGTGGAAGTGTGTGTGTGTGTGTGTGTGTGTGTGAATAAGTAGAGATCATAAAACGTCCTAAATAAACATTTGGCGCAAGATTTTATCACATTTCGATATGTGAATCGAGCAAAATAAAGCGTAATATGTTCGAAAAGCAAAGAAAACACGTGTGTGTGTGCTTGTGTGTTTGGTTGGTCAATGTGGCGTCAATAGGTCAGTCAGCAAGTAATCGATAAAAGCGATACTAACCGTGAACCGATACTAATCGGTCGGTCGTATATCTCATGTGCAATGGATTATTACGATCAAAAAGTGGTCTCTCGCACGAATGTTAATGGCGTGAAGAAAATAAATACACATAAAATGATCCCAACAGCAAAACAGCATCATTAAATCCGTTTAACCGATTGTCGGTGTGGGGTTGAGAGCGTTTTGATGATATGGTCTGATGCCGCAAAATGAGCCAACGAGGCTATTTTCATGCAATAATAACTAGAGGATAATTAGGATCTAGGCTTATTTTGGGGGGAAAAGCGTATAATTATGTGTATGTTACTTTGATTCCATCCAATTTTCGAAATGAAACATTTCGTGTATTGCCCAAAAATGACTTCGAACATTTAAAAGAGACAGTTAAAATGCTGCGCGATTCCGATAAATGTCCAATCTTTTTTGAAAATCGCCGTCTTTCTCGAGGTCTTTGAACGCGATGCAACGTTTTTCTTCTTCGTGCGGCATTCCAAATGATTGTTTGAACAGTTTTCAAATGATTGCAATGAATCCAGCAAGTGAAGCGATGAAGGAGAGGGCGGTGTAAAAACGTCGCGAAGAAACATTGACAAGCTGAACTGAATACAATTTTGCTGTCAGTGTGGAATTTCACAATGGATCACAAACCGCACTTAATTCAATATAAATATAACAATGTTCGCATTGGAATTGCTATTGACGGTCCCCATTCGATTTTATTTGCCGCCGATGTCATGCGGTGCTTTCTTTTCTTCTTTATTTCTTTTTCTTCTATACGGCCGACCTAATTTTAAGTTTGAATCGCCAAATGAAATGAGTTGAATGTGTGTTAAATTGAATAAGTGCAACACGGACTGGAGAAGAAATGGGAGTACGGAACTCAGCCATGAATGGACATGATGATGGCGACGACGACGAAAATTGCGATGAGCCGGCAGAAAATTGTATAGCAAATGGAAGAAAAACAAACAAGGTCCCCAGTGTGAGTGGGCATTGGACGCACGCTGCACAATTCCAAAAGTACACCACAGCTCAACTGAACCGATTCGACCGTTCTTCTTCGAAACACTCGTCAATATATTATTTATTGATACGGTTTATTCGGTGTCATGGAATACGATGACGACGACGCCGACGACAGCAGCATGCTGAAACTTACCTGCTGGATGGTTGGCGGTAGGTCCTTCACGTTTCCACGTTATGTTTGGCTTTGGTGAACCTTTTTCCCCCATTGCAAGCGAGCCGACACCGACAAGTGAAATAATACAACGAAAAGTACAGCGAAAAAAAAAAACGAAAAAGAAATGGAACGAGAACGAGAAAGAGAAAGAGAGAAAAAAACGGAAATTATTTGTAATTCGAACTTTTATTGGCGCCGAAAAGTGATAAATTATTTAGGAAAAAAAAATTGTAGTCTTCAAGTTCGTTTACCAACCTTTTGCTTCGCATATCAACGTAATGTTACTATTTTCGTTAACCACCATGTCGGTAGACGTTGGAAAGTCCAAAATATCTGGTGGCACTGAAAATTCGAGAAAAAAAAAGAAAGAGAAAAAAACGAGTGAGTAAAAAAAATGAATATGGCAAGTACATATGCAAACAAACGTGCCGCTGTACGCATACACATTAAAAACGCTCTCGCCGCGTTTTGACACATACACAAACGCACAAGTGTATTATGAAAATGTAATGTATTGAAATCGACCGAAACACTCCCGATGGATCGTTACTAGTCCGTCGATGGTGATTACCAGCTTGTGCATTATTTAACAGATTGTGGTTAATCGATTTCAATCAATTATTTATTTCGGCTCGATTTCAATTTGACATCATGTGGTTTTTCTTTATATCTGCGCAAAAATTTTGACCATGTCATTTTCAGCGTTTTCTGCACTCTCGCCAATGTTCACTCGTTTTTGTTGAACATTTGGAATTGACAGTAACCGACAGTAACAATATTTCGATTTTAAAATTCTAAAAAAAAAAAACCTATTGAAATGCTCGTTTACAAATTGTTTTTTCACTCTTTTTTTTTTCTTTCGTTCGATACGCTGAAATTGATAACGATGTAACTGGTTCAATTTGATGTTGTATGGTTTGAATCGGGGAAAATTACTAGTCTAGGTTGTATTATGTGGAAAGCCATGAAATAATGATGATTTATTGGCGAAATAAATTATTTTGAAGCAGATTTTGTGTGTGTGACACAACGGCCTGAATACAGTGTTTTGTTGCTCTAGATCAAAGAGAATTACACATAGACGTCATTTTGAATTGTTGTGAGCAAAATGCATGGGAGATTTTAGTCCGAAAAGAAGAATGCACGCTTGAGACAAACCGCTTACCTCATGTGCAAAATATCTAGCCCAATGTTGAAACGAATCACCGCATATAACAAAGTAGTTATTGAGTTTAAAATCCTTTTGGGCCAAAAGGTAGAAAGAGAGGGAGAGAGAAAGTTCCGCCACAAGTACAAGTCAAAATGAATAGACGTAAAATGGTTCATGGTGAAACAAACACATACACAGCAGGAAGTAGAGGAAAGTCTGAATTAGACAAAATCGGAAGTGGTTTGCTTTGGAAAATCACCCTCAGATAGATGCAATGTTATAAAATAGACAAGAGACTTCATTCGAACCCTCCGAAACAATTCATATGTGTATAAGCAATGGGAAATGTTCGCTTTGCCCGAGATTCGTAACGCACTTGATGGCGAGCAAAACCGACACATTTCGATGTATCATCACATTTCATGCACAAGCCCGGCATTGTTAACGACAAACGTGTGAAAACAATAACAAACCAAAGACTATAAGAGTCATCGTTCATTCTGAGCTGCAGTTTTATGTGGCCACGTACAAAAGTGCTCATTTCTGATGTGCCTATGAATGTCTGCAGTCTTGCACTCTGTACACTTGGTGACTTTTTGCCATTATATCGAAATTTATGCAAATGCTAGTCTCTCTATGTCTCTCTGTATGTGCTTCACTCTCTTCTTCGTTCGCACATTTCGTATGGTGAACATATTTGCCGCATGTTTGCATTCATCCACATTACCTTGTGGTCTTAATGATATCATCGTTTTTGTTAGCGTTTCGTATTTTGCAAACAACCACACAGCTCCGTCGACATCGTTGGGAACCTCTTTTTCGTGCATAAAACAACTTCACAGAAGAAAAATTTCCAACTTCACAGAGAAACGGGCAAAAATCGTAATAAAAATTAAATAAAATAGCTTCACATGGGGAGCAAAAGTGAGACTGGCTGTTTAGTGTATTCATAATATGCATTAAATTTCATTGAAAAGAGCCGAGACTCCGAAACATATTATTCTCTGTAGCGGACATCCTTTCGCTGTCCCCAGCCGTTTTCCTCCAATTCTTCTTCTCTCCGCTTTTGGTTTTTTCTCTTTTAGCTCTTGCGCGCGCTCTCTCTCTCTGTCCCCTTTCGCTCCTTCGTTCTGTGTATTGGCTCATCGTTTTCACCTGTGAAATATTTATTAACATAAATTCCATTAGCTGCAGGACGCAACTCACAGGTACACATCAGGATCTACCAATGCATTTTACCCACTCACAATACCATCGCAAATTGAGTCGTCTATTCTTAGTGACTTAGCATACATTTTTTTCGCTCTATGCAACGAATCGTTTGAATTTGAAGCAAGTTTTACTATTTCCGCGTGTGCGAGCGCATTCATTCCATTTCGATAAACAGAGTGCTGTTGTGTCGTTTTTTTCGGAATTAATTGTATCTTAAATTAATAACAATAATAACAATTAAGTCAAAGGAAAACAAACAGCAGAGAGAGAGAGAGAGAGAGAGAGAGAGAGAAAAGAGAACGAAGATTTCCATTTTTCTTTTCGTAATCTACACTCAAACTTCTCCTTCACAAAACTGGATCAACTGAAACTACAGTTGAAAAGAAAAAAGTTGAAGAAAATCGTGCAGAGGTCATTCATGCAAGACACACTTTGAAATTCTTCAGCTCTGTGGTGATAAACGGTGAAATTTCATTTTCAAATAATTTGCTTAATTTGTTGTGCACGAAGAGTTGAAAAAACGGCACACGGCCAAAAGAATTCGGTGGGTTGTTGGTACTTCTGTTCAAGGTAGTTTGTGTAAAATACGGAATTTCACGTTCTTTTTTATTTATGGATGCTCATGATATAAAATCGGTGGGTGTTCGTGAGCAAGCATTTTTCGATCAAAAATGACAAATTGCTACATTTCTCAGGGTATAAATAGAGTTGACATTATGATTAAATCGAAATACAAATCAATAAATTGCGGCGAAATTTTTTCATCTGTGAAGGAGTGGGTGGGAAATAGTGATGGAAAACTTGTTCGATGGCGTTGCCTGCAGGCAAAAATGGGCGTAGAAATACCGAAAATTATTGAAGAAATGAAAGTTGTCGACGCGATTTTCACAATGACAAAACTTTATTACTTTTTCCGCTGTTTTGCCGCAAAATGAACGAGCGAGCAGGTGAAGGTAAGGACGACAGCGAGTGAGAGAATGTGAGAAGAAGAGCAAGCAAGAGAGAGAAAGAGATTTAGAGCGAACGCGTAAAGAAAAACGACAACCGAGTCGCGCTTTAACATTTTACTTGCAGTTGCATGTTTTGCCAAAATTACGAATTTTCCTCATTTTATTCATCGTTCATCCGCCCCGTGCACAACATGACACTGGGCCCAGTGGAAGAAGAACGCAAGACGACAACGACGATGACGAAGACAAGCGGCAAACCGGTGCGGTGTTTGCCAATATACCCTCGCAACTGTAAATCCGTTTTAAAAAATATTGCACGTGACAGTAATTGTGGCATTGGTATAAATGAACATCAAAATATCGCAATTGAAATGGAACTCCGCATAAAAAGCTGTGTTGTGCTGGCCAAAACGACAAACGATACATTGAAATGCGAGTGTTTTATTGTCGGACGATTTTCCCGTTTTTCTGTGTCTCTCACACTCTGGGGCGGGCATAAGCGAGCGGTGAGCTCGCGGTGTGCAACTGTGCAAGTGTTCGAATGCAATGACTACAAGCGCAATTAATGTCCGTAGAGAGAGAGAGAGAGAGAGAGAGAGAGAGAGAGAGAGAGAGAGAGA